TAATCCAAACTGTCTATTTTTTAGATAATCATTCAAATATCATCTCTACAAAAAATCACTTGAATCCAATATCATTTGACCACTCAATGAGTTATTGAAATTTTAATACTTTCTTGAAGCACCATGTTTGTTGATTTTGTAGAACACAATTGGATGTCTAAACGGTTTCTGATTTGTCTAATTTTTTGCAAGGATAATTTATGAATGTAGACTTAAAAAATAGATGGTTTGGATCGTTGAAAAATAATTCGTAGGAGACCTTAAAGGGTGTCCCTCAAATTGATCCTTAGGCCTCTATTGATTAAATTAATATTTTTTTATTAATTAGAAATTCATTTTTTAGATAATATAATTATCTAAAATTTGAATATTTGAACAGTTATTACAACTTTTGGATGAAAAGGTTTTAGACCTCTATATATTGACAATTGGTCCAAACCAATAAGACATATAATTTTTGGAATTGCATTATCATTCTCCACACATATACACTTCTTGAGAGAAAGCATGTCATTGTTCGCCAAAAATCAAAGCTAAAATGCTTAGGCTTGATTTGTGAAAGTTTAATCATGGTGGCCATACCTTTAAGGAATTGCAACTCTGTAGGACTCTACCATTTATCCAAGTCATATTTTCTATTTGATTCTACTGTTGTATTAATTTGATTTGACAATTTATATAGAATATATTTTCGTGTTGTTTTATTCTGATTGTTATCCAACATTTATTGTCATGTGAACTTCTAATTTTCTATATGAAACGTTAGTTTTTTGTTTTTGTTTTTTTCCGAATAGAAGCAATTGGGGGAGGGAGGTTAACACAATATTCACTGGGTGCATTTTACATTTGAATTGAAGTTTTCTTTATAATTAAAAAGGACGGAAGATAATGTTGAGATGTGAATTAACAAGTACATGTAGGATTAGATTTCTTGCAACATTGTAATAATTATAAGGGTGGTTGTTGTTAAGGTAGACTATGAGCAGGACGGAGCCAACATGGGACTAGTGTGGTCCTAGGCTCCCACTCCATTTTTACCTCTTTTATTTGTATATTATATATCATATATAATATTATAATATATTATATTAGTTTTAGGATATTTACCCTAAACTAAATTAATATAGTAGATTCTTTTATTTATAAATAAACCATAAAATTTCTTGATCTCCCTTCTACTCATCTCCTTTAAATCTTCTAGGTTAGTTTATGATATTTGCAATATGGGTTAATCATTTTATTAGTCCCTGAACTTTGACCGGATTTGCATTTGAATAACTCAATTTCCAAAATGGTTCCCGTGGTCCTTTAACTTTAGTTTCATTTGGACAAATGGTCATGCCGTCAGTTTTGTTAACTTTTTCTGTTAAATGTAAGGGCAAAATGGTATTTTTATATTAAAACCAAAAAATGAATAAAAAAATCATATCTTTAAAATAACAATAAAAGAAAATCAAATCAAAAATCAAAAATGAAAATCAAGTTTGGAGGGAGTAGAAATCAGGATAGAGGGGGAGAGAGAGGGTTTAATTTTAATTTTGTTAGTTTTTTTAATTTTTTATTCATATTTAATTAATTTTGATACAAAAATACCATCCCCTGCACTTAACAGAAAAGTTAACAAAATTTATGGTAGGATCATTTGTCCTGAAGAAACTAAAGTTGAAGGACCATGGAACCATTTTGGAAATTGAGATACTCAAATGCAAATCGGATCTAAATTCAAGGACTGATAAAATGATTAACCCTTGCAATATAAACTCCTAAAGTTTTAACATTTTTTTCTCTTCCTCTTTTGTTTAAAACTTTGTGAAATTTGTTATTTTCCTCTCTTTTTTTCATGTATGACTGGGCACCTTAATATTGCGCTTTATGAACTCTTTTTTGTTTTTTATTTATTTTCTCTATTGGAATATAAATGATTAATTTTTAAGTATTTAATAGTACAATTATGAAATTAGTATTTAACCAATTTAAAATATGAAATTCATGATAATTAATTTATGAAGGGAAGACAAGTTTTATGAAGGGCTCCCTCTAATGTGAAAACCTAGCTCCGCCACTTACTATGAGATCTTGAGGGCATACATAAAAACCTTAAAAAATCTAATTTATTTTCATTTGTGTCATTCTTTCAATAATGAAATGACATATTATTGGTATTTTAGATGTTATGTTCATGTCTTTGGTTGTAATGTTAAAATTTATTATCTTTGATTAAAAAAAATTATTATTGCACTTATATTTTTAACATTTGAATAAATGAGTTTACATTGAGGGATCCCTCAAATAAGTTTATCCGAGGGACACTTTTGTAGGGCATACTCCGCATTTTATTTCACTAATCTAATATTTTGTAGATATTCATTCAAAGATCATTTCTACAAAAAAATCACTTGAATCCGATATCTCAATTAAATTATTGAAATTTAAGTATTTTCTTGAAACACCATGTTCATTGATTTTGTTGATCTCAGTTAAATGCCTTAATGAATTTCAACGTGATGTCAATTATCAAGATAAATGTTGTACTCTTTTCCTTTTACTATCGGTTTTCTTAATAGAGATTTTAGAGGTAACTATCATTCATATGTGGACATCCTTTCAATAATTATGTGATTGTCTACTTGAGAAAAGAAAAAAAAATTTCATACAACGAGGATAGCACTGTTTTACTATATTTAGAAATAGCAAAAAGTTCTATCCCCATTGTATGATAGTTAATATTTTATGACTTAAGTTCTTTAACGATGCAAAACATAGAAAATTGAAAGCATCCTCCAAGTAACCCTAATCTTATATAAAGATGAGATGACAAAGAAAAGAAACACTCCGAATTCTCTCTATTTTTAGCGTATAATGTTATCTATATGTTGTTATAATTATACATCAACTTTTTAAAAATAGGAATATTTTTAACTTTCATCATAGCATGAAAGACATCAATCCGTCAAAAGGGACTTATTCGTCATGAGAACGACAGCTTGACTAACACTCTCTTTCGCAACATGTCCCAAATCTCCATGCAAGAGCCCACTGTCATGTGCATGCCATTTGGCTCATCCCATATTAATAATGATATTTTGTGATTGTTTCATATATATACACATACGTATGGGGTTTTTCTTTTATGTTGATGTCATAATGTTTTCTATTGTGTGAATGCCAGTTTAATAAGGTAGAAAAACAAAATAGAGTAATAGAAAAAACACAACGTCAGCACGATAATAACATCTGAACGTCCACATAGGAGAATATATATATATATATATATTCCTAAGGAGATTTTTTTTTCTTGTTATTCGGTTTGGTCTAAATATTATCTGAAATGTTAGGCTACCCTAAGTTTTTTTAGTCCAACAAGAAACTTTACCAGACGCATACATACTCTCTTTTTCCAAACTTTACCAGACGCATACATGCTCTCTTTTTCCGTCGGAAACAGACAGACATGCTCACTTCCATGCGATGGCATTCTCGTAAATAATTCACAGAACAAAGGTTTCTCTGCTAAGGCCACCCCCGTCAACTAACCAGTAAGTAACCACGCCCCGCCAAACACTTCCCCAGCGAGAAACTGTCTCCCCACGCGCACATCTGCACATGCTACATTTGAGAGCAAGTGTGTGCACTGTTCAACCAGCGTGGCCAAGTCTCAGGTTCCATCGTCATGACGTTATGTATGGCAGTGTGTGAGAAACACACCCTCTGCTCTGCTCCCCTCTTAACTTGACAAAAGCAGGAAAACCAATGTGGCCAACCATTACCTGGGGGGCTGGGACCCAACTCAGTGGGTGGGGCCAGCGCGTGACTGAAAGCAGGTCGGGATTTTCACTTTTTACTGTTTCACAAGCACTCTTTTCACAGAGTTACAATGATGAGGTAAAAGAAAAATAAATACGTTCAGGAGACAGAGGAGTCAGTAGCAGAAGGCTTTTCTTTTGCCTTTTCAAAAAGCAAAGCAAAGCCAGCAAACCCACTTCTTAGATTCTTCTTCTTCGTCTACTTGCTGTTCTTCTTGTTTCGCTCTTGTTTTACTTTCTTCCTTTTTTTCTATCTCTCTTTGTGTCTCCCTCCCACACATATTTCAGAACACACAGGAAGAAGAAGAAGAATCTCTTAACGCCCACCAGCATTTAGCATATTTCTCTCTTCTGGTTGGACTTTTGTGTTATGATCTGTAAGTATAATTACCCATTTTGGGCTGCATTTATATCTTCTTATTTTCTTTTGTTTATCTGGGTTTCCCCCATTTGTCTCATACCATCAAGTTTAAAGCTTTAGGTGGTATCATGGTGGCTTTTATCTTAAGCTGGCTAGAGTAGCATGAGTTTGGTTTTGCCTGTGATTTGGAGTTCTGGGGTGGCTCTTATTTTTGTATATGTGAGCTTTATATTACAAATTAGCATAATTTTGTGCTTGCTTAGTTTTTTCATAAGTTTTTTGTTGTTTGATGAAGATTCTGTTTTGTGGAGAAACTTTGTAATGTGGGTTGGAGCTTTTGGAGTGTAATTTGGAATTTGGTAGTTGGTGGTTTAATTTAGAAGTAAGAACAAATTTAATGATTTTATTTTTCTATTTATCTTTTATTTTTTGATTTTTCTCTTAATTTTTATTTATTTATTTTTGATTTACTTCAAGTTAGTGTAAGTAAGAGTGTTCGCATCTGAGATTGATGTACTTTTAAAATGAATGAATTTCATGTTTTCATTTTTGTTTTTATCTTTCTCAGCTTGGAATGATTTTCATGTCTGTCTCAGAGTTTTCCTTCTAAAATTGAAGAAAAAATAATATAAATTTACATTTTTGTATTCATCTGCCGTTACATAGATTGTGGGAATAAATGGGATGTCAAGCATATTTGCATCTTCTACTTTTGGTGATTAACTTCTATGAAGGTTCTTATTAAGAAGATTTGATATTTGTAGTTTTTATAGAGGTCTCATGCTTTGATTGGTTTTTTTTTCTGTTTGCTTCAACAGAGACTACAATCGGGACCAATGACGAAGATAAGTCCTGAATTTGAGGATCAGATCCTAACTGAGGGAGTTCTGTCAGTGTCAGCTGATGTGAGTTTCATCTCTAATGGTTTTCCCAAGTATAAATTAGGACCTAATAATCAGATACTGGAAGAGCCGAAGGAGAATAATGATGGTCCGACCTTAAAAGAGGTAGTTGAACGGGAAACCACCCATTTGTCAGAACAGCATAAACGTCTCTCAGTTCGTGACCTTGCCAGTAAATTTGACAAGAACTTGGCTGCTGCTGCTAAATTGACTGAAGAGGTTTCCAACTTTTTCATTTATTTTTGTACTCAATTTGACCTTCAACATGGCCCTGTCCAACAACCTTGACATAGTTATACATCGAATTAAATCTTTGACTTTCAGCTCTATGTAGGGCCTTCATATCCTGATGCAGAAACCATTAATCATCCTTTTAGTTATCTTATTACCACTTTTTTCTGGGAAGAGCATAAAATTTTATGAGAGTATATGACAAAATGAATGCTACTTTTCCGGTTTGGATTCAGGCAAAGCTTAGAGAAGTGGCTTCTTTGGAAGGACATGTTCTTTTGAAGAAGCTTAGAGATGCATTGGAACATTTGAGAGGGCGCTTAGCGGGGCGAAATAAAGAGGATGTGGAGAAAGCTATATCTATGGTTAGTTTTCCATGATTATCTTCTACTTGGTTTGAACTTTCATTTGAATTGCCTACCTCAAACAAGTAATCTGCCCCTAGTGGGTGGTGGATATGTATAATGTATCATCACTTCTGGGAAAATATTTTATTTATTGAACGAAGAATAGTCTGTTTATATCTATCAATAATTCATGATTGAGCATGCATGGTAAAGTTATTTGGCTTTGGTTTGGAAATGGAGCGACTACCTTCAGGGCTTTTTGCACAAATTTTTTTAATGCCTGACACTATATGCAATTATTGGTGGTTCCTTTCCCTTTGTTATGCTGTTTCTTTTTCATTGTATTGTTAAGTTGTAGGAATCAGTTTGTGTATGCAAATCCAATTGGATCCTTTCATGCAGGTGGAAGCTTTAGCAGTTAAGTTGACTCAAAAGGAAGGAGAACTGATTCAGGAGAAGTTTGAAGTGAAAAAGCTGGCCAGCTTTCTCAAACAGGTTCTTATTTCTTTTTATATTTCCATTTAGATTTTCAAGGAAATGCTTTATATAAAGATTCTTTTACATCTTAGAATTTGACAATAAGGCATTCAGATGCAACTTTGTTTTATTTGTGAAGAACTCGGGTTCAAATTGAATGAAGGGCCAATGCACCATCTAAGCTGAATTTTAGAACTACCAATGTGCATCTGGTTAAGATAAACCATTGATTCTTTTCTAAAGGACCAACCATAATTTCTATTTGCTTAATTCAATATGAGTTCAAAAGAATACAAAAAAACCTATGCATGTTGATTTAGGTAGGATATGGCAGTTGATATCCGCTTGATATCAACAACAATTCATAGATCCACAAGAATCATATGACTTTGCTGTCAATTAAAGCCCCTCTTACACAGAACCACAGTGGCTACACCTTGATTGTCATTTTCGCACAGGGGCCCGTAAACCTCAGGACTTGCCCTGCACGAATGCACACACAGACGCACATAGGGTACTCGTTTTCATGGATTTTATTTTATGGCGTCCACAAAATGATTTCCAGTAAGCATTTTTTCCTGAAAGGAAAAGAACAAGATAATCAGATTCACTAACCATTCACCTTCAGCAAGTCGCTGTAATTTATGGTCAGGGAGAAGTTTCTTGCCATGCACCTGTTAATTTGTCATCGTTCATGCACAAAATTGTTTCTTATTTTCTTTGCATTTTGTGTGTGCAGGCATCTGAAGATGCTAAAAAGTTGGTTAACCAAGAGAAATCTTTTGCTTGTGCTGAAATTGAAAGTGCGAGGGCAGTAGTACAGAGAATTGGAGAGGCTCTTGATGAGCAAGACACAACATCCGAAGCTTCTAAAAAACAGGTTTCTATGAGCTCCTTCTCATGCTCGTTTATGATAATCCAATTACGTTTAAAATGTTGGCCAAGGTTTGCACGGATAGCGGGCTTAATAGGAACATAAGGAGATTGTGAACTTGGATTAGTCCCTTTATTTGTTTGAGAGGACTGTAATGACAATATTCTTCATTTGGAGCTCAGGATTCTTTTATTCTCTCATACTGAACCACCAATCTTTTGTAGCCATGTAGCATGCGTTGTGGGATTAGCAACTCAAAATATATAGTTACACGGGTGTACTTGTATGAGTAACACACACACACACATTTATTGACCGCACATCCCAACTTACCCATGCTATGTGGGACTACATGCATTTATTGACCGCACATCCCAACGTACCCATGCTATGTGGGACTTTATTAACACTCACCCTCAACGTTTGTGTTGGAGACTTGGTTGGCCCCTTCCATGCAGGGTAGGAGAACAAACCCAACCCATCCTTGAGGTACACCTGCTTTTAGGAGTGGAGCTAGGATTTGAAGTGTGAGGGGGCCAAAAATAAAATGAAGAAGATGAAAATAAATAAATAAATAAATATATCACATTAAGAATAAATTATATTCTGGAACAATTTAAAAATCAATTTGTAATATTTCAACTGGAAAATTGGATTAAAACTTGTATTAGAATATATTCAATTCAGTAGCTTTTTCATGTTTTTGTGGTCAAATATTTTAACCTATTAATTGGCTAGTTACTGGTTTTTAGGAAAACCTTTTGGGGTACTATAATCACTAACACTTGGCCACTGAATTATCCATCTATAGCCTAGCTAAAGTCACTGTGAATGTACAATTTTAAAACCAAAATTTTTGATCTTTCAGAAGAATGAATGATAAAAGTGTTTGGTCTTTGAAAGGGAAGCGTTTATTTTTTCTCAGATATTTATGGCAGAATATAAGTATAGTCTTCATCTCTTGCCAGTGAGTCAGAAAATTCGTCTTCAACTTCTGCACCCTTTATATAGTTCCCCATGTCATGCATCCTTTCAGTATTCTATTGCTTATATTATCAGTAGATTTCTCATAGTGAATGGAATATGGAGAATTGCATTCAAGATCAGTAATTATTAAATTCTTTACCTTTTAAATTGTGCATGGAAGGACAAGGAACTTATGATTTTGCTGCTGTTCTCTAATGTTAGGATGTGGAGGAACTAGTTGAGGTGGTTCAGGAAGCTAGGAGAATTAAGTTGATGCATCAGCCAAGCAAGGTTTTGTGTTATGTTCTCAATTTTTTTATTTATTAATAGGTTACGCTTTCAATTTATATATCAATTCTTTTTGGCATGCTACATGACTTTGGAAAGCAAGAACAATTTTTAAATTCAAGCAAGGAAAACAAAACAGAATATATTAACCAGAATGAAACCTGCAACCATTTTAAGTTGAAAATTTTCATATGGAATCTTTTCTCTTAAAATATCATGGAAAGTTTTATAATTTAGTAAAGAAAGACGAGAAGCCTAAAGGATGGAACTTTGAGCCTACCTTTCATTTGTCAGATATAGTACAGGAGTCTGGAAAATTATGCCATGTTTGACGTCTAAGTTGTTTCTCTCTGTTAAGACACATCTTGTTTATTTTTAGTTTTCTGTATGTTTGGAGTATTAGGTATGATAAACTCATCCATCGAAAATTTCTTCAAGGGTTCTGCTCAAAATACTATTCATCATTAAATCATGCTACAACTTTCCTATATTAGCATTTGGCACATTGATTATTTAATTTCAATTGTTTTTCTAATGTTGTATTCCATTATTGGACTTTTAATTCATTCCTTAACTCATACTTGGTTGAGTTTGCCCTTTTAACTCTCTTTTTTATTGCTTAATTAAAATAGGTGATATTATTCTTGTCATACCAGCAGACTTTTTGGGTTACACTTCTTGGATTAATATTTAATCTTGGCTCATAGAATAACTTTCAGGTAATGGACATGGAACATGAGCTTCGTGCATTACGAACTCAGATACGAGAGAAATGCATATTTTCAGTGAAGCTTCAGAAAGAGGTCTGTGAAGTGTATTCAAAGATGCTTATCTTTTCTTGAAGTTAAATTGAAATGAATTTTAGTTCTGTTAATATACTGTACTCAGATAAATGCTCTCTTGGTGGCATGGCATGTTTATTTACTTCTTGTTTTCAGATAAATTCCTAAAAAATCTGATTTAATGAAACTTGAATGATCAGACTTTTTAATTCTCTGGCCTTTTTTTTCCCTCTATTTATTTTCTTTATGTGTACTTTTTGTGTGGCTATGCCTGATATAAGATTTCATTTTCATTTAGTCAATCTTTCTATTGTTTATGCAATTTCCAAAAAATTTAGAATGTATAATTCCTTGCCCTACCTTGTTTCCCTATTATTACCAGCTGGCAATGAGCAAGTGGGCAGAGGAAAACAAATCCTGTTTATATCTTATAGATGGTTCAGAAACTCTAGGTGCATATCTACGAATCCAACCTCGCTCAGAAAATGCCCCGCAACTTTCAAAATGTGCAATTCAATGGTATCGTGTTTCATCTGATGGCAGCAGGAACGAAGCTATTTCAGGTATTCATTCAGTCAATGTTATCAAAGAGTAGCTCCTCAGACTCTGTTCAAGCTGGATTTATGTTTTATTACATGGTTTGCCTATTTCCATGTAGCTTAAACCTTTGGACTACAACAGTAATCGAACATGGTATTTGTCTATCAGAGCTTTGGTTATGAGAGGTCCTGGGTTTGAAATCTCTCATCCCCGTTACCCAGTTATCTGTAATCGGTTAAGGATAAGGTTGCACATATATGTTTCTCTGTTTATCTCCAGATGAGGCTGCACATACAGAATGTTTTGATAAAATCTTGTAACTTCCTTCACAGATGTTTTCGTATTATAACTCCCTTCCCAGATTTAAACTATTATAAGCTATAGGAACTTCATTCCCAGATGTTATATCTTGTAACATACTATAAAAAAAATTCTTGAACAGTTCTGCCCACGGTTAACAGGTTTATATGAATTTAGGTGCTCACAAACTACATCCAGTAACAAAAACATAAATCCTTTTCTAGTTCAATGCTGACTCTTAGGATTTGATCAAGTTTTTTTACACGAATCCTATTTTATCGTTTATTGACTAAATTGGCTTCTAGATCATCAATTAGTCCTCCAAATCGTTCATGGTTTTTTGTGTTACATCTGTCTAAGATCGCTCAATTTTCCACCTCATCAGGTGCCAACAAGTCAATTTATGCTCCAGAACCCTTTGATGTTGGCCGAATCCTACAAGCAGACATTATTTCCAATGACCAAAGAGTCACAGTGACGACCGCTTGTCCAATTGATCCTGGTTGGTATTTCTCTAAAATGCTCAATATGAATTTTTTCCTAAGATATTACTTTTAGAAGTGTAACTTATTTTTTCCTCATGTAATCCAAAGTAAATTTCCAGATTTAAGCTTCTCCTTAGAGTATATTATCCATTGTACATATTAAATTGGTCTTAGAGGAGAGCAAACAAAATTTTGATTAAGTTACTTTTAACAGCTGCAGGACTTGGAAGCTATGTAGATACACTTTTGAGAAAATCTAACACTGAATTTAATGTAAGATCCTACGTATCTCTTGTTACTTCCATATTTATCTGCTTGATGATTCGTATTGTGTTGCAATAAATTGCTTCGTGCTCATCTACGTCAAAGTGAACAAAAATGTCTTAATTATGTTCTCATATGCCTAAAAATTCTTATGGACCAAATTGTGCCAGGGTAAGGTAAAGTTCTGATCTCTACGTGGTGTATCTAATGTTTCCATTGATGCAGACACATGGTTTAATCTACATAGATACTGACCTTTCATGGTCTTTAGAATTCTAGCCATCAATTCATGAGATTCCCTCAGTTAGCTTCTCAGGTAATATTACCCCTTAGCACCAGGGCCGGAGACACGTGTTATCCTCTCTGCAAAGTGTAGGAGACTGGAAACCGACGCATCCCTTCAGTAAACTGACTTCTATACCACGATAAACTCATAGGTAGAAGTAGAACTCTCCCTTGAAAACTGGATTACAAGGAAGGTTGCCCATGCTTTTATACACATTGCATCCCAAAGGTACCCAAGCGATGTGGTACTATGCTAATAAGCAGAACTTATTAGGCCTCACGAGGACAAGAGATGTATCCTCGGTATCCAGCATGACAAAAGGCTTTCACAACTTTGAGCTTGAATCTGCAAGGAAGTTTGAATTGACTTATTGGATGTGTTTTGGTCATTTAGAATATTACATCATGTTCCTAATCCAAACTACCAATCTTTGCTACCACAGAACGCGCTAAAATTATCAGAGACTTGTTGCTGGTGCAAATTTAGTGGGATCTTTCCCTCATTTTGGAGATTCATCACGTTATGACTATAATACTACAGTCTGTATGTCTTTTCAAGAAAAACAAGATAATGCCATAATCAGGCTGCATAGACTTTTGAATCTATGGCTTGCGTATGGCTCATCATGATTTCTTATCATGTGTTGATTTGAAAAGAAAGAAAGAAAAGATACATACAGTATTTTCATTGAATGCTTGTCTGCAGAAATAGACAATTTTGCTCTCAGCTAGTTCTGTTTTGGATGTTTTGTAGGTGGTTATTTCAAAAGTGAATGGACAAGATCATCCATCACATTCTGTTCATGCATTTCATGTTGGGAAGATGAGGATGAAGCTTAGTAGAGGATGGATTACAAAGTCTAGAGAAATATATTCCTCTTCAATGCAGGTAAGGTCATTCTCACTTTAATCTATGTTATTAAACATAAATTGATGAAGGAAAACTCATTCGCACATTTCGGTAACAAATCCATCTTCATATACTTGAAAAATGCAACTTCTTTTCATTTAACATGAAGAGAAAAAAAAGTAGAATAAGCCCTAGTTAAAGATGAAAGCATCCTGTTATTTCAAGTCATGGGCCTAGGATTGGTGAGAGTAATATATACTTCGCTGTTGGTGTTGGAATAAAATTTTGTTTTATTGGTGATTGTCGTATTTTAATTCCCAAAATAGGCTTTTGTTGAGGCTGTAATTATGCCATAAGGGATTCCTTTCTTGATTTTTTCCCATTCTAGTATCAATTTTTTGGTTCGAGTTCTAGCATCCTTACTTGTATAATGCCCTCCTGATAATGAAGAACACATGTGAATATCTCCACAGAATGCTTCCTCATAATGCATCATTTGGGGTTGTATATACAAACCAAAATTTTGATTGCCTTATGCTTTTATGTCCCTCTGACCAATAGAGCATTTACCTACCTTCCAAAATTATAAGAAATTTTCTTTCCTTTAGACCTAAGTACCTCCTCTATTCTTTTGAAACACGTTGCTATTATTTCTTCTTGCATGCTTTAATTGCTCGTACGTCCCAGACAAGCCACTTTAACACTTTAATAATCTCTGTGTGTATAGCTATGCGGCGTTAGAGGCGATATTACTAATGCGGCAAAGGCAATGTTTTGGCAAGCAAGGAAGGGTCTCTCATTTGTATTGACATTTGAAACAGAGAGAGAAAGAAATGCAGCCATTATACTTGCCAGGAAATATGCTCTTGATTGCAATGTATGTCGCTTCTTAGTTTTTTTGCATTCCGTCGTACTGTGGCTTTAAATATTTTTTCTTTTTAATTTGGTATGAACCGGGAAATATATCCATAGGAAGTTTAATTAGTGTTGCCTTTCTGATGAAGTTTTGCAATTTCAATAATATTTTCTGGCTTACTATTTTCTTTTTTTGTTTATTTTATATTTCTCTAGTTTTTATTTATTTATTTTCTACTTAATATGATGTTTGGAGTGGAAATTATTTGAATGGCAGGTGATGCTTGCGGGACCAGATGATAGAGTATAGAAGTGCTGACTGAGTTTTTGCAAATGTGAGTACAATCAGGTGTTGTAGTGTGAGTAATATGCATGTGTGTGTATTTGTCATGATAGAGGAAAATGTGTGTTATAGTAATTGGGGTTCTTCTACTAATTTGGTTGCATCATTTTAGGCAGTGTTTTTGTTTGCCTAATCATTTGTTGTAACAAGTTTTCAGTTCATAATTAATTGGTTCTTTTGTGGCTGATTTGCTTGCTAAAGCATTTCTTTGCACTGATTTTGGTAGTACTCTGGAACCAGTGGATGTGATGGATACCCATAACCATGATTACATTTCGAAAATCTGCTTAACTTGAAGACATGATAAATTCATAGAATTTTAGTTTTGTTCAATTTTGTTCTTTTTCTTTTATCTTTTATTTTTTGATAGGTAATACGGAAATAAATAACTATACATGTCGTAAAATGATTGAATTGGTAACACATGTGACGCTTTCACCTTGGAGTTTCTCATAGATATATTGTATTTGAACATAGTAATTCTTTGGTGTGACAGTCATATCACCACATAGCCCGAGTACCCAAAAAATTGCTCCTTATATTCTCTCATAAAAATGAAATTGCTCTTATAACCTTGTTTTATGCGGGGTATCCAGCAAACACCAAATATGTTCACCAAATGACGTGGCACTATGTGAGTTACTTAAATTTAAGGTTTTTTTTTAATTAAAAAAAATTCTAAACTATTTTATTTTGTGGTGGTCGGGAATTTGAGTTCGAGTGCAAAAGGTGGGTACGCTAAACTAATTAACATTTGCAAATCTAGGTTCACTCTAAACTTTGACATGTTATTTGCAAATTTAGGTTCACTCTAGACTTTGACATGTTTACTAACATGGGCTGATGAAAATCCAGTGACGTATGATTTTTATTCCAGGGGTTTAAACGTGTACACGTCTCCAAATATTTTTAGATGAAAAATTAAAGGTACTACTTTCATGTATAATTCATGATAAAACTGACATTATACACTACAATTGTTCACTACTAAGTACATAAAAATAATTCACTCTTTTACACAAAGTTATTCCTTTTGTGAATTAATTGATTTTACATAAAATAAATTCCACTATTCACCATATTCAAATTACAAAGGTTTTTGTGAAGAATTTTACCTCCCATCTTTAATATATGTAAGGGCGGAACCATGAATTTTTCAATGGGTAGACTAAGGGTGGACTAACTAAAGTTATTAGCTTAATTAAATAATTTTTTAAAAGTAAATTTAGGATTTAAAAGCAACAAAAAACTTTCACAAAGGAAAAAACCAAAAAAAAAAAAAAAAAAAAAAAAAAAAACTTTTAAACCAAAGATATGCAAATGTAAAGGATTCCTTAGGAAATCCAAAAATAAATAAGGGCATTTTTGTCCATTTTGGCTTCTTTTCAAAATATTTATCTCACCTTTGGCTTTTTCCAAAATGTCCCTTTTTTTTTGGTACTTACAATTTATATAATGTTTCTAGAAATAAAGGTATATCATATAAATCACAATAGTTCATTGCTACATTGACTAATTTCCAATAAGCTTTAATATTAAATAAATAAATATTAAATGCAATAAAAATACACATATTATCAAAATTAAAATATATCCAACAACATAATTGAAAGACCCATTCAAGTTGGGCCCTATGATTCTTGAGAGAATTAAAAAAAAATTTGTCATTGCATCCAAATTGATATTCTCAACAAGTTCTTTTTCATTGTAGACAATCATAGAATATGTTAGAAACTCATTCTCCATCTAAACCGCAATGTGCCCACTCCTAGGCTAGCTAATTTGTAAAAGGTGATATGATGACCATTAACATGAATATTGACGACAAATTAAGGAAACATCAAGAGAAAATATGAAAAGGTAGAGAGTTAAAGTCATTAGTGTTTACTAAGGAATTATGCTTTTTTAATTCAGCAAACAAATTAATGATTATAGGCTTACAATGTTTAGTGGACAATGGGTTACTAAGCTACACTTGGATGGATTACAAAACTTTTATGGTGTGGATCACATTAATCCACATGTAGTATATTTTAATTTGAAAAAAGGCTAGGTAGCCCTCATGCTAGTTCCACCAAGTTGTTGACATAAAGGATAAATAGTGCAATGTGGCCCAAGTTTAAGGACCACAATAACTATTATTGGAATTCAATGACAAAAATGCAAACAGAAGTATAATCACGAAAATGCAAACAGAAGTATAATTAGGAACCATTGTTACAGTTTCACTTATAATAAAATATTAGCAAACTACGTTTATCAGGACCATAAATAAAATATTAACAAACTAAATTCCACACAAAATTTGTAATTCCACTGTCTCACTCAGATTATAATTTGAATTACAAGTTTGTCCTGATATGAAATGACAACTTGCAGTGATGGACGACACAAATATCAGTTGGGGCAATCCATTCCATGGTGGTTTTGTGAAGTAATAAATAACAAGTGAATTTTTCTTTAGAACAAGTGATTGTGGGAGGGGGGCTTACACAAATATTCATTAGGTGCCTGGGGGTTTCAAATCTCTGCTCGCATGAATGAAGGTGAAAGAGTTCAACCAACTGAGGCATAACATACTGACAATAAATAACAAGTGTATGATTGTAAAGTAATAAGAAATTTATGCATAACATGTTTTATTGCTTAATTTGAAGAACTTTATGCCTGTTTAAGAGCTTTAGCTATACATGGACATAATTTTGTAGCTTATGCACCCAATAAATTATATACAAATTTATAAATAAACCCAATCCTAGACATGTATTTATAAAAAAACCCAAGCACTATTTAAACATAGAAACACACCCAAAATTAACCATAAAGTCAACTTTTTGGGTGTGTTTATAAATGGGTTTTGAGTGTGTGTAATGATGGGTTTTGGGTGTGTTTATATGTTTAAATAGTGCTTGGGTTTTTTTATAATTTCAACCTTCATTTTGGGTGTTTTAGTGAAACTCCCTAAATTATACAAGAAGAATTCATGTTACATTGGATTGGAGGTGGAATGACCTCCAAAATGATTGTAGATATCAAATGCTGACTAAGATTTGAAACTTCATGGCATCTTGGTAGTGTGTGTGAGAAATTCTCTTTCTTGTAATTTAGATTATCGTTTGTACTAAAAAAAATAAAAATAAAAATAAGGTTGGTATGTTTTTGATAATGTCACACCCAAACTTCAGTTTTACTATGAATGTGCCAACTCTCTATCCCGTGGCGGAGCCAGGATTTCACATTAGAAGGGGCCCTTTATAAAATTTGTCTTCTCTTCACAATTATCATGAATTTCATATTTTAAATTGGTTAAATACTAATTTCATCATGTACACTATTAAAGACTTAAAAATTGATAATTTATATTCCAACAGAGAAAAGAAATAGACAAATAACGAGTTCATAAAGTGCAATATTAAAGTACCCAACTCATACATTAAAAATATGAGGTAAATAAAAGATTCACAAAGCTTAAACAAAAGGGGAAGACGAAGAGATAGAAAGGTTAAAACTTTAGGAGTTTTTAGTGCAAATGTCATAAACTGACCTAGAAGATTTAAGAGAGATGAGTAGAAGAAAGTTAACCTAATATAATATTTTATTTTATTTTAAGGGTAAATATCCTAAAACTAACCTAATATACTACAATATTATTGTTTGTGCAAAAATCCTCACGAGAGAATATTCGCTTGTGGATTCTTCAACCTTTGATCTTCCTTCTCTCTCTTCCTCGATTCCTGTAAAAAAGACCGGAGTAAATAGACCACACCCCAGGGTTGTTGATCAAAGGAACTCCGATGCCTAAGTTAGGTAAATTGAATCTAGGAGAAACAATAGCTAAACAAAAGTACGGAGATTTATGTATTGTGTGAACCCGGCGGCAGGAGCCGTGTATGTAAAATATGGAGAGAGGAGAATGGTGTGGCCGGCAACGGTGGTGGCACCGTAGGTTAGGGAAAGAAAGAGATGGAGAGTTTCCGGTATTTTCTCGGGTTCTCAAATTACCTTGAATGTTTGGTGTAGTTGTGTATTTATAGGCTCCTTTCGTGCTAGGGTTTTGCAAAGAATAAACACTATTTGGAAGGAGTTTATTTTTTCCCCAAATTGTAGAGATTGAGTCAATTAGGGATTTGATTGGGATCAAATCTACTAATTTGCTGATGAGATCTCCAAATAAGGATAATATCTTAATTAGTGATATTATCTCTTTAAATAAAGATAATATCCCTATTTTGATGTCAATTGTCTTGCCAAATAAATGACTTAATTAATTGACCTAGGAGATGATCTTCTTATCTACGTGTCATCTCATGATTGGAGATTGAAATATTTGCTCCCACAATTATATCAGATATAATATATGTTGTAAAGAAAGTGGTGAAGCCCACATAAAGAAAAGAATGAAATAATAGTCAAAAGCTTAATGATGATGTTGGGTAATGAAGCCATCCAATTTGCCTATAAATAGGATGGCTCATTCAATTGTAGAACACACCAAAGGAGAAAAGAGGAAAGAAAGGAAGAGTGAGAGGAATCAAAAGAGAGTGAGTTCTATCTGAGAGGAAATTCTATCAGTGTAAACATCACAAGAGCAAATACAATTCTACTCCCAATATTCAGTGGTACTTTTCATACTCTATTATTTTATTTTTATAACACTTTATCAGCACGATAGTCTCTCCTCTTTACTTCTAAATTTTCCTAGCTCAACAGTATGTGGTTATTTCTCTGTCTCCTCTCACTTTACTAGAACGACGACATGCAAACTTTCTTTTTTGTATTTTCACAATTTTTATGTTATTTCATCCATGTTTGTTTAATTTATTTTTTCGTACTGTAATTGGAAAGGTGCGGTTTTATACCCCATCCTCTTATTTTATGGTGGTGTAATTTCATTACCCATCACGTTGTAACACATATTATCGTAATATGTTATATACTTCATATATATATATATATATATATTAGGTGATGGTTTTATCCCTGCATTAACTGTATGGTGTAGGTTTATTACCCATATACAAGTACAACAGTATTTATTTAAAAGTGTGGCGCGGGTTTATCGTCCGCACAACTGCCTTTTTCTTTTTATTTAAAAGTATGGAGTAGAATCAGTGCCCATACCAACACATTTACTTTATTGCACATTTACTTTTATTTAAAGTATAGTGCGGAATTAACGTCAATACAAGAAGCAATTTACCTTATGAATTTACTTTATCGCACGTTTACTTTTATTTAAAGTATGGTGTGGGTTTATCGTCTATACCAACAAATTTATTTATAGCACTTTAATTTTATCATCAATTAATATACATGAATAACGAGGGCCTGAAGTTCCTTAAACAATTATAGGGCCTGAAGTTCCTATTAATAAATGGCTTAATGTCCCATATCCCAAGCCTAAAGTTTTGGGTAAAATATGCAAGATAATTTTTAGCCTGAAGTTCAAAAATATATTAAGATTGAAGATTATTGCAAATTCTAATGCATCTCATTTTCTTTGAAGATGGCAAACTTGGCAAAATTGGAATTTGCTGCCTTGGACATTTCTGGGGACAACTATCTATCATGGGTCATGGATGCCAAGATCCATCTGCGTGCCAATGGCCTTGGAAAAACAATTGTAGATGGAAGTGATGCATCACCTGAGGAAAACGCAAAGGCTATGATTTTTCTTTGTCATCACATTCATGAAGCGTTGAAAAGCGAATATGTGATGGTCGATGAACCATTGGTTCTGTGGAAAGCCTTATGTGAAAGATACAATAACCAGAAGACGGTGACCCTCCCAAGAGCCAGATATGAGTGGACACACTTGATATTCCAATATTTCAAGTCAGTATCTGAGTACAACTCAGCAATGCACAGAATCACCTCCCTGATGAAATTATGTGGTGAAAATATCTCTTAAGAGGATATGCTTGAGAAAACTAGGAGTACCTTTCATGCCTCAAATGCGCTCCTACAGCAGCAATACAGGCATAGTGGTTTTACAAAGTACTCAGAACTGGTATCTTGCCTTTTGTTGGTTGAACAGAACAATGAGCTTTTATTGAAAAATCACCAATCTCGCCCAACAGGCTCAACACCACTTCCTGAAATAAATGCTGCATCTCAGGAAGTGAATGCCACCTCATCTCATGGCAGTATCCACAGACGTGGGCGATGAGGCAAGTGTGGCCGGGCAAGGAAATAGAAAAGATCGCGGTGCCCATTCATATGGCTTAGGTCCAAGGAGCAATCTATCCACAAGTGACAAAAATGCATCCCGGAATAAGGGGAAAGCACAGACAAGCCATGTGCCTAGAAATGTTGAAGGCGCTTATCACAGATGTGGTGCAAAGGGACATTAGGCATGTACATGCCGTACGCCAAAGCATTTGGCGAATCTCTATCAATCCTCACTTAAGAACAAGAAAGTGGAGACAAATTACATTGATCATGTTATACCAAATCTGCCAGCCACAGATGGCCCATCAGAAATATCGCGTCAGTTACACATGACGTATCTGGATGTTTCCTATTTTGTTATTGAAAGAAGGAATGAAGTTTATGGGTCTGAATTAGACTAAATTCCTTTATGTACCATTTGTATTATCTGAAGTACTGCTTTCATTTCAATCCAATAAAAGTGGCACCGTTTTTCTTTACATTGAATAATTGTTTATTGATTCAGCTTATTTTATTTATTTGAAGGCATGGATTTAAATTATGGATGTTGCCAAAACAAGAACTCTAGCAAATATATTTGTCTCGCAGACAGTGCGACTACTCATACGATCCTTCGAGATCGAAAGTATTTCTCAAACTTGATGCTTACAAAAGCAAAGGTGACAACCATATCAGGCCCTGCAGATCTGATTGAAGGCTCAGGAATAGTCCAAGTTATGTTACCAAATGGAACAATACTGTCCATTCAAGATGCTTTATATTCATCTAACTCCAGAAGGAATTTGTTGAGTTATAAAGATATACATTTGAATGGCTACCATGTTGAAACAAAAAATGAGGAAAATATGGAATATCTTTGCATTACCTCCAGTGATACCCAGAAGTGTATAATGGAGAAACTTTGTGCGCTCTCATCAGGGTTGTACTATACAACCATACAGACAATTGAGGCACATAATGTCATGGACCTGATGTTCATTGACTCAAATACTTTTAAGCTTTGGCATGACTGGTTGGGTTATCCTGGATCCACCATGACGCGTAGGATCATCACTAGCTCTAAAGGACATCCCTTGTTGACAAAACACATTATGTTATCAAGTGACAGCTCTTGCCAAACTTGTTCACATGGGAAGTTGGTGATCAGACTATCACAACCAAAGGTTGATGTTGAATCCCCATCATTTTTACAGAGAATCCAAGGGGACATTTGTGGGCCTATTCATCCTCCATGCGGACCATTTCGATACTTTATGGTCTTGGCTGATGCATCTACCCGATGGTCACATGTTTGCCTTTTGTCCACTCGGAATATGGCATTTGCTAGGCTCTTGGCTCAGATAATTAAATTACGAGCCCAATTCCCTGATTATCCCATTAATTCAATCAGACTCGATAATGCTGCTGAATTTACATCTCGGACTTTTGATGACTACTGCATGTCACTAGGCATTGACATTGAACATCCTGTTCCTCATGTTCATACTCAAAATGGCTTGGCAGAAGCTTTAATTAAGCATCTTCAATTGATAGCTTGCACCTTGCTAATGAAGACAAAATTGCCAATTTCTGCCTAGGGACATGCCATTTTACATGCAACATCACTTCTGAGGTTGAGGCCCGTTGCCAACAATCAATATTCTTCAATACAACTCGTGTTGGGTAATCAACCAAACATTTCACATTTATGAGTTTTTGGTTGTGCGGTATATGTGCCCATTGCACCACCACAACGTACTAAGATGGACCCTGAACGCAGATTGAGAATTTATGTTGGTTTTGATTCACCATCTATCATCAGATATCTGGAGCCCCTGACGGGTGATATCTTTACTGCACGGTTTGAGGATTGTCATTTTGATGAGACAATTTGCTCACCATTGGGGAGAGAAAAATATGTTCCTAAAGAACAACAAGGCAAACTCGTTCCTAAAGAATGACGTGAATTATCATGGGATGTACCCACTTTCTTTCATCTCAATCCTCGTACTGCTCAATGCAAAAACGAAATGAGAAGGATCATTCACCTTCAAAGTATTGCAAATCAGATGCCAGATGCATTTAATGATGCAACAAAGGTGACGAAATCACATATCCCAACTGCAAATGCACCTGCAAGGATTGATGTCCATAATGGGCAAAACAATGTGCCAGCAAATAATTCATCTATTGCACTCCTGAAGCGTGACAGACCACTAGGCTCAAAGGACTCAGTCCCTCGAAAGAGGAAGTCGATGGCCAAAATGAATACAAATGAAATAAATAGAGAGCCCACAATTCATAATTCAAATGCCCCCGAAAAGGGATAGGTACTTCCTAAAAAGGAAAATGTTATTGGTGAGACAAGTGCCCCTGAAGTGGCAACGGTACTTGAAAGTCAAGAAATCTCCATAAATTATATATCCACCAATGGATTGTGTAATAAAAACGAGATGATTATCAATGATATATTTGCATTCTTAGCGGCTATTGAGATCATAAAAGATGATGATATTGAGCCGTGCTCTATTGATGAATGCACACAGAGGCAAGATTGGCCTAAATGGAAAGATGCAATCCAGGCAAAATTAAATTATTTGGGAAAAAGGAGTGTTTTTGGACCTATTGTTCCAACTCAACCCAATTAGGTTGCAAGTGGGTATTTACAAGAAAGCGCAATAAGAAAAATGAGATTGCGAGGTATAAAGCGCGACTTTTTGCGCAAGGTTTTTCACAAAGGCTTGGAATTGATTATGTGGAAACATACTCTCCAGTAATGGACGCAATTATGTTCCGTTACTTAATAAGTTTGACGGTTTCAGAAAAACTTGAAATGAGACTTATGGATGTTATTACCGCATATCTGTAGGGAGAATTGGATACAGATATATACATGAAAGTCCTAGAAGGATTTATACTACCTGAAGCAGTCAGGAATAAACCATGGGGCATGTTCTCAATTAAAATGAGAAGATCATTATATGGGCTAAAACAATCTGAGCGAATATGGTACACAAATGATAAGCATTTACTAAAGGAAGGATACACAAATGATCATATTTGCTCATGTATGTTTATTAAGAAATCAGAGTTTGGATTTGCGATAGTGGCAGTATATGTTGACGACATGAATCTAATTGGAACTCCTGAAGAGCTCCAAAAGATTGCTGATTATCTCAAATGAGAATTTGAGATGAAAGACCTTGGAAAGACAAAATATTGTCTTGGCTTACAAATTGAGCACAGTGCTAATGGAATTTGGTGCATCAATCAACTTATATTGAAAAAGTATTGAAGCGATTTGGCATGGATAAAGCCCATCCACTTAGCACTCCAATGTTCGTTCGATCATTTGACACTAAGAAAGATCCATATAGTCCAAAAGAGGATGATGAAATGATTCTTGGCCCAGAAGTACCATATCTTAGTGCAATAGGTGCTTTATTGTACTTAGCACAATGTAACAGATCAGACATAGCATTTTTAGTGAATTTGTTAGCAAGATACAACTCTGCTCCAACAAGCCGACATTGGACTGGCATCAAACATATTCTACGATATCTTCGTGGGATAACATACATGGGCTTATTCTATTCCAGTGAATCGACCAATTCCACCTAGTATTGTTGGATATGTTGATGCATGATACCTCTCTGATCCACATCAAGGAAGCTCACAAACTAGGTATGTGTTTACATGTGGAGGAACTGCAATCTCATGGCGCTCAATGAAACAAACGTTGGTAGCCACATCTTCCAATCACTTAAAAATATTTGCCCTCCATGAAGCCAGTCGTGAATGCATTTGGTTAAGGTCAGTGATCCATCACATCCGAAGCACATATGCTATACCCTCAGCAATGGACACTCCAAAAATCCTGAATGAGGACAATGCAGTTTGTATTGCTCATATCACAAAAGGATACATCAAGGGTGACAAGACCAAGCACATGTCACCAAAGTTTTTCTACACACATGAGCTTCAGAAGAGTCAAGAAATCAAAGTCAAAAAAATCTGTTCAAGCGATAACCTGGCAGATCTCTTCACCAAGTCTTTACCAAAATGTACATTCCAAAATCAAGTGCAAGGTATCAGATTACGTCAACTCTGCAAGCAATCAAATTGGAGCATGCAAAATCAGGAGGAGCATTCAAGAGTCCTATAACATAGGAGATATGCGCATTGTACTCTTTTTCCTTTGACTAAGGTTTTTCCTTGCAAGGTTTTAACGAGGCAACATGAGCGCATTTAACATTACCCTTATGTCCCAAATAAAGTTGTACTCTTTTTCCTTCGCTTAGGTTTTTTCCCACTAGGTTTTTCCAAGTAAGGTTTTAATGAGGCAACCAATCTAGGGACATGCTCACGGTACTTGTATGCTATCGGTCATTGAGGAATACTTAGGCTTAGAGGGTGGTCCTTATTTCTCGCATAAAAGCAATCAGAATTCGAACACACCACATGTTACTGGGAAGGATCGAACCATAGGAACGAATCTATAGGGATATCACCTTCTTTAGCCAGATCTTCCAACCTTTTCACAATTACAATTTATTACGCCCTAGACTTGAGAATCAAGGAGATTGGCTTGCTGGTTTTTCCATCATCCAATCCACAACCATAGAACAAAATATCGATAATTTCGCCGATATTTCGATGAAATTATCATTTTTTAGGGGCAGCAATATTTTAGTATGTTTCCATTTATTTATCGATAATTTCCTCAATAATTTCGGTACCGATATTTTCGTTCAAATGGCAGCTGCAAATGGTCAACATATCGGGATATTATCAATAATATCGCGATATGAACTTTCAAAAATGAAATAAATCGCTTGAACGTAGCACAAAGGGGTTCGAACCCCTCCCCACTACCAACTTCTAAGCCACTTAGCCACCACACTAGCCATCACTTTGTGATTAGTATCTATCGAATCAGGTATTTATAACTCTTCCAAGCTATTTCTCAAAATATAAAATAATTACTTATTGTTCTATAATGTTGATCAAATATTTAATTACTTAATATAATTTATTTCTTTCCTATTTAATCCATTTAATGTTATTGCTTATTTTATTATTCATTATAAATACTTACATTACTAAATTCCCCTTCAAATTGTTGCTTAATTACTTAAATCTCTATAATCATTTTCTTTATTTCCTATTTAATTCTTCTTTGGATAACTTTATTTATTTTTTAGTTAATTTTCAATCTTTACTATTATTTTTTAAGCATGGTAAAGTGCTTAATTTTAATGACAAATCAAGTTGGTTTAGATCTTTAATTATTTTTCAATTTTTGATAAATAATAAATATAAGAACGTGTACCATCATGATGTCCAGTGAATAACGTGAAATAAAGTTACTCATGTATCTTACCATTCAACTTATAAAGTGTAAAATATTGTAGTAAAAATGATAAATAAATTACTAGAGGATGTTTAATTTTCTTTCATTAATTACTCTAGATTTTCTAAGTCACAGAGTTTGTCAACTCGCAATATAATCAACTTAAATCACTCAAACATGCTATGCAATGCATTTCCTTCCAATATTTTGTGTTAAAATAATAGATGATTGACTAAATAAACTTTTTACAAAGTTTCATTAAAAATTTCCATGTATTTATCACAATTTCCGTGGTTTTTATCCAATTTTTATCGATATTGATATTTTCCCGATATTTTCATCGATATTTCTGTGTTTATGAACCACCGATATTTCCAAAACCCTCGATATTTAAGACCTTGTCCACAACAAATCAAATGAAACTTGGTGAAAAAGAAGTGAACACGTTGCTGAAGAACGAAGATTCATGTTTGTTTCTCTTCAAACCCCTAATCCGTTTTCACTCACCGCTACTAACGAGCACTCGGTTGATTTCCCTCCCTTTAGCTACTCAGATATTTCAATTCCCTAAGTTTCAAAAGTCCAAAGAGCGTAGACTAGCCTCAGAGCTTGGATACGATTTCCTGATCGAAGATCCATGGATCACATATGATATCTCCCCATGGCCTTTCGCCTTTGAAAGCGTCCTTCCTTCTCAATGCCTGGGCATCCATCCAATGCATTCTTTTTGATCTGGTACTAAGGTACACTGAACACCAACCCAATCTTAAAAATAAAAAAAATAAAAAAAAATAAATAAATAAAAAAAATTACTTGTGAACGAACACTTTGTCATTAGAGTGTTATAACCTTAAATAATGATAAAGCTTTTTGTTTTTTTTTGTTTACTCAACTCTTAAAGGCAAACAAAAAAGGGATTCGCCTAGAATCAAAACTATTTCTCCTTTCTTTTCTATGCTATGAGATTTCTTCTCTTATGAAATTTCTAGTTTGATTGTGGGCGGTACACTTCTCCCCAATATGAGATAAGTTGCAGCTATAGTCATAACTCCAAATGCTCTCTTGATATAGAGTATCTACTCTACGTGTCATCTGCTCTCTTGAGGTCGTCCTTCTCTAGGTATAAGGTAATTTATAGTGCTAGCAGATTAGAAGTACATAAGTCAGCCCTCACCCTTCTATAATAGGGGCAATGTTATCTATTGAATGGGAATTTGCATCCTCTCTTAAAGTCCTTTATTGATTTCAAGTGGGGAATAAAGCTGTGGTAAGCAATATAGATCCCACGTTACCCTTGTAATATTATTATAATCTTCCAACACGTGGAAGGAATTGTTTATTCCAATCATATATCATTTGTTGATAGATAGGGGTGACGAGAGAGGTTTTTAAATATTGTGGAGAGAGTGGGGTCTCCCGCTTTTTCTTCTCGCTAACGATTGGCATTCTTTTCTTCCCTGTTCTGGCATGATCAAAGAAGCTATAGCTGACCTGGCCCCCTTTGAAGACAAGACCTTCCTTTTTCTTTTTGTGTTTCTCAACTTTAAAATTGTAAATCAACCCCGTATGCTCCTCTTTCTTTCCAAGCGCATTGCTTCATTGAGCGCATTTGCTTGGCTATAAGTGGTCAAAGTCTCTCCCCATTCAAAGAGGTCCTCTACTTTGGTTGGCTAGTTGATCTTCCTCTCTCTGAATTGAAATTTTGATCACCCTCGTTGTACTTATTCTTTCAAAGGATCACCTGCCGACTTCCTTGAACCTTTCATCTCTCCACATCACTGATGAAAGTGTGGGTGCACACATTGGCGACTTTACTGGGGATAGAAAAGACTCCAAAGAGTCCATGGTTATTTCCAAACAAAGACCCAATTCAATGAGCTTGACCTGCATACACTTGCACTTTTTTCGCCCTATAACCCGGTGGATTTTAGATTCTAGAGCCTGGCCCACTAGGCCTGTGTTGTGATTGCAACCAGTTTCCTCCACCCCATGGACCATTACCCATGGCCCACTCCAGACCATGATATACGTCAAGAGGAGCAACCACGCTGATGACCAAGGCACCATAAATAGCCCATCTTGAGAGGCACAATGGGAGCTTCCTCCCCCAAGTCTTACCAAAGTTATAAGGAGACACTTAGCCACACTAGATAGCTTAGAAATTTCCCATAGGTAAACCTGTGTTGTGTGACTGCGTGTGCTTGTTAGATTTCTTGGGGTTCTATGTTAGGCCCACTCTTTTTCACCTTAGGAAAATTTACTTATAGGCTGTGTTTCCTGGCCCTATGATGAACCTTTAGAATAAATAGGGAAGGGCTTTTGAATTAAGCCCAATGTGTGAGACTTACAATTCAATACTACTAGAGCCCATAAGGATTACGACTTAAGCCCAATATGTGGTTTTGTCATACAATAAGATTCAATTTGTTTGGACTAGTTAGGTTTGGCCTATTACCTTGAGTGACGCCTAACGTGTACACCCCTTGTCATGAGGATGTGATCTTATCCACCCATAGGTCTTGTTCTAAGCCCAATCCTCTCGTCTTAGAGTAGGATATCCATAAACCTTAAATCGCAGGAACTTCTCCTTTTTTAGTTGACAACCTATGTTGGGCTGACTAAGCCCACCATCCTAATAGAGTCCCATCTTGTGTCGGGTTAAGGGTCCACCTCATGTTGGGTTATGGGCTTAGTTGAAGCCAATTTCTTCACTTGTAGTCTAGGGCTTTGCTTGGCATTGGGCTTTAGTTAAGCTACATCCATTTTAGAATAGGATCTTTAATGTAGCCCAACTCATAGAGAGTTCGGTCACTTGGTCTGAACGTATTTCTTCTATTCCATAATTGGGTTTTCTCCTTTTAGGATTAGTTTTCTATCCCATATCGTGTTGTGCTAAGCTCATAGTAAGGGTTCGTGTTGTGTCTCAAAGTAAGGGTTGAAGCTATGGTGGGTTGGCAGAGGAATCTACAGTCCCTAATCAGTCATATTGGTAAACGAGTGTCTGCTGCAAACTTTTCTTCTTCTTCTTCTCATTTTCAGAGACTCTGGAGACCATCTCCTCAAACCATTGCGAGGCCTCTTTATCACTGCTTTCAGCACTTGGTAATCACAGTACTTTTTAATTTTAAGACTTGGGGATTTTTTTTCTTCTTCTTTCAATTTCAACTTCTGTTTCAATTGTCACATTTTTTTGTCTTTGTTTTCGCTATCAAAGGGGATTTCCAGTTCAAGGAACTTGCTTGCAGATTCGTCTGTCGAATCACCTCTTCAATCTACGGTGGCTCCTGTCTCTGCATCAGATGGTGAAAGTAATGAAGAACACAACCAGAAACCGCTCTCTAAATCTGCACAAGTTCAATTTGTCTTAAAGGGCATAAAAATGGTACCATATTTGCATCCTTTTAAAGGTTTCCAAGAGATTCTGAGTTTTTTGTTTTTGTTTTTGTTTCTGGAATATTTTTGAACCATCTGGACATTAAACATTTCTTCTCCTCAAGTGGGTTATACTTTATAGGCGCTTTGTGATTATAACGTTCCTTTCATGCACATTAATCAACTTTTATTTTGGACTAGGAACCGTAACGGATTTTTGTTACATACACTAATCTCTCAATACCAATTTGAATGCTTATTGCTTTCTGTCTAAAGCACAGTTGACTGGTTCAGTTACCTTAGGATGCCTAAATTTGAGGGGGGTTTGAACAACTTAGAAGAACTGTTACTTTCTGTATTATTGTTTGTGCTGTTATTTATGTGGGGTATGGTGTATTTGGGAAATGACTGCAGTGCAAAGGGTAGTTTGCGGGCATTCTTTGTGCCCAGGGGAGCAATGCCTTTTTGTTAAAAGTTATGTCTGTTGTTTTTTGCTTTTAAGTTGTTGGCTGCTAATAATACTAGCAATTGAAAGGATATCTTAGATATTTCATCTTCACATTAGCATCAAAGGATCTGTGATCACCTAACTGACTGCTTAAGTTCTATGTTTGATGGTGTTTTCAATTTCTTCCCCCTTTTTTCTCAGCATACATTTATTAGTTGCTCACTCCCTGCTTGCAGAGCTCTAATAAGGTCAACTTGGTTGCTAAACTGGTTCGTGGTATGCGTGTTGAAGATGCATTGTTGCAACTGCAAGTGACAGACAAGCAAGCTGTAAAAACTGTGTATCAGGTGATTGAGCCATTCTGCACTTTCTTAGTATAAGTTCAACTTTATAAAACAATTGCATAAATAAGGAGCGTAGGAACTGATTTTCAATTTTGAATTGTTATGCCTTGTAAGAAGGCAGGAATACTGTATATGAGAGATTCACCTTCTTGTGGTACCATCAAGTGTTTTATATATCTTTTTTATATTTCTTTCCTGCAAGCATTAGTTATCATCGTATGAATGATTCAGTATGTTGAATTTGAAATCAGTTTTGGTTTTGATATTTTGTTCATAATTCTTTGATTATGCTCATCTAGAAACCACGGAATGTCAACATTATGTAATAAGGTACTGTTTTGCAGGCTCTTCACTCAGCCCGAGCAGATGCAACATATAATCATGGGTTGGATCCAGAACGTCTCCTTGTTGGTAAATAATGCAAGTCAAGTAAAGTTTCCTTTATTTATTTGTATTCTTTTTCTTAAAAACTCAATCCTCATTATTCTGCACTCTCTCCTTATATAGCTGGGGCATTTGTTGGAAAGGGATTCTTGGGATTCCACAAGAACAGACTTTACTACCATGGTAAAAGCAACAATGGAACTAAAGTGAGACCAAACAACTACCAATTGATGGTGACGCTGAGGGAGATTACTCCTGAAGAGGAGGAGGAGATAGCCAGACAGAGAGCTAACAATTTTCTCTATCTCTCTAAGCGCCTTCGGCTCACCAAGAAGGAAAATAAGTTTGTTCCTCACCAGCTTATCAGGAACCACAAAGGCAAAGTCGGTAGTAGTCAGCCAAGTGGTATGACTTCATGAGCAAGGTTCCTTCCCATGCTTAAACATTCTGAAAGAGTTTTGAGACACATTAGAGACCTCCTCCTTTGTCTTTTGGAGTTTAATAAAATTGTCTTGTAGAAGTGAGAAAAACCAAAGTGCCAGAGTAGGAGCAACCTTGTTTCAGTTTCTGATAGTGGCTGCGTGTGGTTTTAAATGCTTAGGTGTAGATTATCATCAAATCATTTCTATCTTGGTGCATTGAGAATATGATTTTTGAAATGAACTGATATTTGTTATGACTTATTTCACCTTCGTCGTTGGCCTTTTATTTAAGCAGGCATGGCTCTGGCACTGTAAGCACAGGTAGATTTCCAAATTGATTTTCATAAGTGAAAAAATAGAAATATAGTCACCCTCTAGAACGATTTCGGTAAAAGAAAAGGTATACTATTTAATGTTTGCATTGTTGTTGTCTTGATTCTCACTTAGTAGTAGATGATTAAATGCAGAGAGCCCTTTTTATCTCTCTGTTATTGGCAGTTTATTTGGAAGTTCACTCCATACTTGCTCGCTAGTGTTGTGTGGCGCTTGAAAAGGCAAGTTTAGTTGAGCAATTTCAGGTCCTCAGTTGAGCTTGAGCCGCTTTATTGAATATGTTGGCTCGATTTAGCTTGAGCCCCTAAATATGGCCAAGGATGCTTGTAATAGATGTACTTCATCCTCAGCTTCTTTTGCCATAACTCACAGGTTTCTGTTTGGAACAAACTAGTTGGAAACTACTCCATAGGTCCACCTTAGTATTTTTGCTGTCACATGGAGTGTTTGGGAACGTTTTTGTGTTATGTTATTTTTGTATAGTTGCTCAAGTGTCTGAGCAAACACGACGGTGATTAGGTTTGTATTGTATCTAATAGGGAAAATGTTAGAAATGTTAACAGAACTTATACACCATTTTCAGTTTGTCACGTTAAAGAAAAATTAAACTTATTTGTGTTAAAAATAATGAAAAATATAATAAATAAACTAATAAATAAGATTTAAAAGGAACCCTTTGAACTTGATGATGTCATGAGGATTGCATCATATCATAAAACATTGTCACTTCTTATGCAAATAATCATAGTCGCTAAAAGTTGTTACTCCTGAAAAGAAGGTTAACTCATGTACTTGGTAGCTTTAATTTGTCAATCATGTGTATTACATACTTTTTGTACTCTCCACTAGCCACTTTGGGCGATCAAGTATTACGATTATAGGAACACATTCTTAAGATGGAATCTACCCACCTTGCGGAGTTATCCACTTGACTGATTTTGACCATGATTATTACGTAACCAATTCAATGACTTTGTGATAATCACCACTGTCTTAAGATTCATTTATAAGCTTGGTTTTGTACAAAACGTTTTCCGTATTTATTTATTTATATTTTTTTTGACATTTTGAGGGTTGAAGACATTAATTGTGCTAGCGATATGCAAAGTGCATGCAAGGAATTGTAAGCATTATTTTCAGAATTTTTCTTTTGGTTTTTGCTAGTCTGTCAGAGGGGTAGGTTTCGAAACCTAGACTACTGGTCTGAGGCCAAACACTCTTAACCATTAAGGTATGTGAAAGATTCAATCCAATCCGTTCAAACCGATCAATTAAATCCAATCCAATCAAATTTTAATCAGTTTCGATGATTTAGCGGATTGAATTGGATTCTTAATTTCCTAAACCGACATAATTGGATCGGATGATAGATTTGATAATTGAATCCAATCTAGTTAGTTTCATGCTCATTTTGCTCATTAGGTAATTCTCATTAAGAAAGTTGTGAGCATTTAAGTAATTTGATGGAGTTATGTTTGATATATTATAAAATCAAAATAATTTTCTCTAACATTTTATTTATATTTTACACGTACATCTATTAAAATGTTTGATTATATTAAACTTGACGATATATGTTTAATATTTTATTATTACTTTTTTCCAATACAAAAACCGATCATCCAATCCAATATCAATTGTATCTGACCGAATATGCCAAATTGTATTGGTTTCAAACCGATGTATACCCCTAGACCCCATTTACTTTTAGAGATTGACCATTGTAAAGGCCCAAAAATCCAAGGTTGGGCCCAAGCTTAATTCTAGCCAAGTGCAATATTTAACTGAGAGAGAAGCCCAACCGAGGTATATGAGAATTTGTCAGACGCGCTCGTATAAATTGTGGGTCACGTGCCACGCCAAACAAACACGCAAACCCACCACACAAAAGGGTCAAAACGAGCTCGTAAAACGTACCGGCTCTGTAAACCCACATTCACTGACTTGTTAAGTGCTATTTGGCCTAGTCACAACCTATTACCACATCATGGAACTCAAGCATAAACATGCCAAATAAACACGCTATGCCAAGTTGCACTAAGGCTCAAGTGGGCCCAATCCAGGTGAATATGTAGGGCTTGTTGAGAAGGTTGTGGTATGGATAGGTACGAGCACTCACAAGGCCCATTGAGGGTTCAAGGGATAGAAGTTTAAGGCTACTTAGGAGCACCAAAACTCAGGCCCGTTTCTTGGGCCTAAGCACATGGGTAAGCAATAGAGAGAGAGGGTGGTTCAAAGCCTTGAAGAAACATCCTGTGACCTGCGACACTTAGAGAAACCCACAGTAGCTAAGGTGCCCAGTTTCGTTAAAAGACACTTCCAACAGCTTGACGAAACCATAAAAGACTTAGCTGACTGCTGGAAATAGGAAGCAATGAGCCAATGCCTTAGGAAAAAGCCCAGCCCAGCGCCTTATAAAAAAATCTAGCATTGTGTCTAGCTATTAGAACCAAGTCAAACAGGAGCCATTGCAAAGACCAAAGGAAATTCGCAAGACAGATAGAATGCCCATTGGATTAAGGTCCCTACCCTTGTTTCTTTCTTCTTCAAGTTTTAACAAGAAAACCAAAGGAAAAAAAGTGGGTGGCTCCTCACCCACATGAAGAGGTCCAGCTACGTGAGAGTCTTGGAACCCTAAAAAACTTCAGGCCTATGGGTTTAGGCTGAGGAAGTTTTCACCGAATAAGATCAAATGGAAGAAAGTCAAGAAAAAGAGGGAGGGAGTCTTGATAAAATAAAAGGCTAGAGTGCCTATAGAAGGAGGCTTCTTCAACCTAGTAAAGACAGCATCATCTAAAGCATGACCAAGCTTTTATCGATCAACTGGAAATCCACTCAAGAGACCCCATTCTCTACTTCTGTCTCTCCCTTTCCTCAGTTTAAATCTTCCCAAAATCTCTCTTTCCCTTTACTTTAACCCTTTGTTTCATTTAGAAATTCATGCTTTTTCTCTCTAACTGCCAAACTTGTGAAGGCTTAGCTCCCATGCTACAAGCTTCTCAAGCCAAGCCATATTATCAATCTGCCATGTTCATCTAGTTATTGGTGAAAGGAATCCAAGGTGTTTTCTAAGGTTTCACAAACTTTTTCAAAACTCTCTTGGAGCCTAGTTCTTGAAGTCAGACACAAGGGAATTTTGTTTATCTTTTCCTTACGGCAGCTCAAGCCCATTCGTCAGGCTGCTGGAACAAAAAGACCCAACATAAATAAAAAGTAGTAGTTAACATTAGTTCAAAAAAAGCATTCAAAAATAAAAAAAAAAAAAAAAAAAAAAAAAAAAAAAAAATTAAAATAAATAAAAATTACCAGCATCAAAAGATGTGGCTCCTATTTGGCTATTATTTTCAACTTTGAATTCAATTATCAAAATCTTATCATTGCTTCTCCCAAGCGCCATGGTGAGTTACAATCTACTCAAGCAATTGATATCGGTGAACGTGAGGCAAGTATAGTAAAGGTGTCAAATGGGTCATGACGGGCCGCACCAGCCCGTTTATAGTCCGCCCACATATTTGTTTTTTCAAAAAGAAAACACATTTGTTTGATGTTTCAAAATATGTGTTTAGTTATGTGTTTGTTTATATTATTTACTTCTTTGCATTATATTTGCTTGTTATGTGAATGAACTGATTAGATTTATAAAATTTTACTTGATGTTTGTTTTAAGAAAAATAGGTAATAGAAGTTTATAAAATTTTACCCTAATATAAGTCCTCCTAACTTTGTCCTCCAAGTACAGGTATGATTTACTTATCCTACTCATACTCTACCAAAATTACATTTACACCTCATACTTAACTAACTTAAGCATCAAAATCTCCTAGGCCGATACCACACCGATGTCCTTGTGGCTTACCGATCGCCTTGTCTTTGGACATGAACGAAAGTTATCTTCATAGAGAAACATATACCATTCTTTCCCCATCAATTTCAACAATCTAAGGGCCTATTTGATAACCATTTTCAATTTTTTTTTTTTTTTGTTGTTTTCATAACTTGTTTGGTAACTAATTTCAGTTTTCATTAAACAAAAGTTATTTGGTAATTATTTTCAATTTTATGTGGAACTTGGAAATGGAATTTTTTTAGGTTAGATTGTGAATTTGAGATCATAAAATGAAAGTGCATGTTACAATGAGGTCATAGTATACTTCGGTGAATTTTTATGGAATTAGGATGATTTTTTTGGTGAATTTTGGATTTGGAAGTCTCGAGTCTTGGACTTGGTCTATGGTAGAATGCAAGAATCGAGTGGTCAAGTCCAAGTTAGGACCCTAAATACTGAATTTTGGTAATTGGAGTGCATTTCATTTGTGGTGATGTAAAGTTATGGAATGAAAAAGGATAACAAAAAAAGAAATTTAACATAAGAACTGAAAACAGTTTCAAGTTGTTAATGATGATTTTGAAAACTAGATTTCATTTTAAGAAAAAAAAACTAAAAATATAATCTATTACAAAACATGTTTTCAGTTTTCAATTTTCAAACAAAATGAAAATGAGAAAGAAATGTTATGAAACAACTCCTAAGCAAATCCCACAAAGTGACCAAACTTTGCATGTGAGTTGTTTCTCTTTCTAATAAATCCCTTCCTTTCCTAAATCAAAAGAGACCCATTTTTCCCGTACAATCTTTGCTGTGATGAAGTGAACAAACCTGCACTCTCCAATAAAGCGTGTACGTGTCATCAGGTGAAGGTGCGTCGAGTCGAAATCTCAGATTCCGCACGAGCGTGCTTTTCACGCGCTACAAAAGACAGGGAGATATAAACGTATATAATATTCAGAAAAAAATAAAAATGATAAAGAAAAATCTATGGATCTCAAGTCTATGGATCTTGTTGTAACACTCACTCTCAAGTCTCATGTCTCAAGTATGGCATGATAGACCCTCAAATCCCGGAATTTAAAAAAATAAAAAAATTTAAAACTCCCATAAAAATCATCACAAAGAGGAAAAGAAAATAAAAAAACAAAACAAAAACAATCAGCAACAACAAAGAAACAGTACCCCATCAACCCTTCACAAAAGCGGAAAAGAAGAAACAAGATCCACCTCGAACCTCTCTCCTCACCTATCCATCCCCTCACCTCCCTCCCTCCCTCAACCTCACAACAATTCAACCCAATTCCAAATCCGAATCCATCCTACCAAATAGCTGTCTTTTTTTTTCTTTGGGCTTTTTAAGTGGTTAATTATTCATTCTCAAATCTGAGCTGAGCTGTGGGATGATGAGTGTGTGAGGAGGAAATTAGGAGAGCAAAATAGTGGGAATTGGGTTGGTGGGTAAGCAGCTGAGTGTTGTAGAAGAGTTTGTAGGAGTGAGGAGGAGGAGGAGGAGGAGGAGAGAGAGAGAGATCAAAAGAAAACAATAATGAGGGAAGATGAGTCCAATTGGTTCTCCAGGTGGGAAGAAGAGCTTCCTTCACCTGAGGAGCTCATGCCCTTATCCCAAACCCTAATCACTCCTGATCTTGCCTTGGCCTTTGACATCAGAAACAACAACCCCAACAACCCAAGTAGCCCCCAAAACCAACAACCCCCACAACCTCCTCAGCCACCACATACCCCTCCACCTCCTCCTCCTTCCTCCTTGCCTCCCGCCACCCCGACCCACCCCAACTCCTCTGCCGAATTCGCCGATTCTGCCGACCTGGGGTCTGGTGCGGGCGGGGAAGAGCCCGCCCGCACGCTCAAGCGGCCCCGCCTCGTGTGGACCCCACAGCTCCACAAGCGCTTTGTGGACGCTGTGGCACACTTGGGGATCAAGAACGCCGTCCCCAAGACCATAATGCAGCTCATGAGTGTAGACGGCCTCACCCGGGAGAATGTTGCCAGCCATTTGCAGAAGTACCGTCTCTATCTCAAGCGTATGCAGGGTTTGTCCGGCGGGGGCAGCGGAGGCGGCGGAGGCGGAGGCGGAGGATTGGCAGCCTCCGCAGACCCCGCCACCGATCATTTGTTTGCAAGCTCGCCGGTTCCGGCTCATTTCCTGCACCCGCATCCCGGGGGAAGGCCCAATTCGGAGCATTTCATGCCCTTTGTGCCGGTGGCTCTGCAGCAGCACCATCACCAGCAGCAACAGCAGCAGCAGATGGCTGCGGCTGCGGCAGCGGCGGTGGCAGCCCATCCCCAGTATCACAGGCAGGTGGGGCATTTTGGGTCCCCACCAAATGGCCAATTTGAGCATCCATTCTTGGCAAGGCAGTCGTCACAGCCAGTTCATAGGATGGGGGCGCCACTGCATAATCCAGTGCCAGGAAGCTATGTAGAGGACTTGGAATCAGCTAATGCAACTGGTGGCAGGAAAGTTCTTACTCTGTTTCCAACTGGGGAGGATTGAATTTGGGTAATTGTCATCAGTTTTGTTTTCATCTTACTTTTGAGGTCATTTAATTTCTGGGTCTTGTGAAATTGGTGTGTGGTTGTACTTGTTAGAGGTTTGATTCAGGATCTAAATTATTGGATTTCCTTGTTGTGTTAGTGGGTCTTAGTAAGCTTGGTTGGTGGTGATTGCTAGTGGGCTTCAAATGAGATCTGTGAATTCCATTTCCAGATCCAAAATTTCAGGTTACAATGCATTGGTGACCATCGGGGTTTGTTTCACTGTAATTTATGGAGTTGAGTAGTATTAGGGGGCGTCTCTATGTGGCCTTTTCTCTGGAACTGCTACTTGTGTAATTATATTGCTGGTAGTAGCATATAATCTATATCTCCCCTGTCACCCCCTAGTGATGTCACTCAGAGCGACAGCAATTCAAGCCCTTCTCCATGTCATACTGACGAATCAACTGGGTTTTCGTTCAACTTGGAGTCTTCTTGCTGGGGGGAGGGGTTTTCTCATTGGTATTGCCGGTAGGGGTGGAAGAAGTGACAAACGACTAATTTTGAGCTTGCAGATGAGGATAAATAATGTTGGCAAGTGCTTTCTTATGTATGTTCTCTGGATAGCTAAGGATGCTGTTGGTAACTGTGCTTGACATATTTGCTACTGCATTTCTTGGCTTATCAAGAAATCTCTTCTTTGTGGAGTTATGCCTTTGCACTCTTAGTTTAGTCTCATGTAGAGGTAAGTTGTACTTTTTGTACATTGTGTGACTTTGTAGACAACTTAAACCCTGATATTAGGGGATCTGTTGAAACAATTCTGATTTTATAAGAAGGTTATCTTAATGCTACATGACCTTTGATTTCATATGGCTTTATATCTTGGTGCTTTGATCACTTTATGGCTCATATATTCTTTCATGTTGCATCAAATAAGGGACTCAGCAATTCTTTGTTGTTTGCATATTTACTGGGATATTAGTTTTATTATATATTGTCTTTCTTGATCACTATTGAAACAACACCAATCTAAAGCATGAGGTAATGGAAGATCACTCAGTTTCAAATTATTATTTTTGGTTAAACATTTGCAAATATTTAGATGAAGGTGAAATAGAAAATATTGGTGGAAGGATTAATTGATGTAGCAGCATCCTCAAAGTTGACAAAGTTGTGAGAGTCCCATTAAGTTATTTCTTTTTCCTTGTAAATTTGTAATGCGAGTGACTAGAATTATATATGATGAAAACGATAGAGAATGGTGTAGTATAGACCCCCTTTTAAAGTGAAAGTTTGATGGTAATTACTAATTATGAGTAGATTTAATCCTTTATCACATGATTGCTCAGCCTGAAATGAAAATTAAAAAACTTAAACTGTCTGGAGGGTTGTTATAAAATTAAAAGATGATTTTGACCTTAAATTCTCGTAACTGCATGGTGAAAAAAATGGTCTCTGTTTTCCATATATTGAAGTATTGGAGATAGTCAGAGTTCTTGGTGTCTAATTTCGTGAAGTGAATTCTGTAGTTCCTCATAGTTTAATACTATCCATATTTATCACATCCTTCTTACATCCCCGCCATAGTTTTAACTTACCTGTCCAGCTTGCAAGGTTATATTGTAGTTAAACCTAGAATAAGAGAATCTGCATATTCTTGTTCTTACTTCCCAACCATCAGTTTTAACTTACCTATCCTTCATGCAAGTGAATATTGTAGCTAAGTGTAGAATAAAAAGAATCTACGTAATCTTGTGATTACAGCATGTTACCTGCTGTTATTCATGTGTATTGTAATCTGGGTTGTGTGGGGTAGAAGGCTTTTATGAGTGCAAGCTCTTGAACCCAGTTATCACAACCCTTCTTCCTGTTTATTCTGTCGCCTGAGTCTTTTGAGCTCGCAAGAGCTTCTTTCACGAGAGGGCCATCAGGAACAAAATTTGTAAGCTGATCCATTTAAAGGGCTGATTGACCTTACAAGACTTTGCTTGCAGCGGACATCAGCCGTTTCTGCACAATTGAAACTCTGATTAGATCCTTAGCACAAGGGCTAAGTAAGCAAACTACCTTCTGTAATAAAAACCGAGGAAAAATAACGTCAAATAGAAACGAACAGGGTCTGACAGCACCATCACTTTATCTTTTCCTTTTCTTTATCTCTCCTCTCTTTAACTGAAATACAGTATATTGTAAAATGTTGGAGTGAATAATTAATCTGCTTCTGTTATCACCAGAAGTAAAGCAGATGCATAATCTCAAAAAGAAAGTCAAAAGATTGACTCTACTGAAGCCTAAGATTATGCTTGATGAAATTGCAGCTGTTGAAGTTGTATGTGGTTCCAATTAAGGTAAAGTCACATTTGAAGCTATAACTACACAGGTATTTCATTGTCATGCCTTTTCCCATGTACCACACTAGTCTTCCATTTGCTTGCTTTAATATGGGAACTTCACAGAACAAGCGATATATTTGAAACTTGCTTGATGCATCTTTCCTCCACTTTTTATGCTACAATTTCAGAGTTGTTTTAAAACCTCTGTATTCTTTCAGCAAAGCATTTAGTCGCCTGTTGATCCGTCTTTCATAGGTTTCACTGGGAGGATTATTATTTGGTCTAACAGTTTGATGATGACAAGTTCACTGACTTTCAACTGGTTAATGTTATTCTAATGTTCGGATGCCCATAAACCGATAATATTTGAACTCAAGACCTCCGTCAAAACAAAAACAAAAACAAAAAATAGATACATGAAATCATTCTCTGGAAATGATGCCCGTTATATGGTTTTTTTTTGTTTGCTCGATCCTGTGAAGTTTCTCAAGATTATCCAAGGCATTGTTGATTCAAATATGTTCAAAGGTCCAACCTAAGCCTTGAGAGCCTTGCATTGATTTTGGGAGATTCCAACCAACGCACATATATAATTGGATATTATTAGAGTGATATTATAGTTAAATTAATCTGAAACAGTTTCCAAGAGAGAGCAGAATTCTTAAGTTATTGGGACATTTTGGAAAAAGCAAAAGGAGAGAGAAAAATTTTAAAAGAAGCAAAAATGGACAAAAATGCCCTTATTTATTTTTAGATTTCCTAAGGAATCCAATACATTTACATGTCTTTAATTTGAAAGTTGTGTCTTTTTGCTCGTGTTTTAAATACTTAGGGGATGGAGAAGAGACAGAGAAATTGGATACATAGTATCTCAACACTAAATGACGGGCTAAAAAGAAGCCATAGAACTCTTCAGCCTTCTTCTCTCGAGTTTCAATGGAATTTAATTTTGAAAAGTCAAAATTTGGCTTGTGAATTTTCCAATATGTTTGTATCTAATTGTGAGCAGAATCTTGAGAATGTGGATCCATAATTTTAATGCTATTCATAAAACTCTATTATTATATGGTAATTGTTTGAGCAAAAGTCTATGGAACATTTAGGGAATGTTTGGTATCCTATTTGGATCTGATTTTATAAACTCAAAACAGATTTTAAGTCTAAAGCCACAAAAACCTGTTTGGTACACCTATTTTTAAAAACTCAAAAGTATCCCATTATTAAAAAAAGAAAAAAAAAGGTTTTATAGTTTTCTTTCTCTCCACGCTCTCTCCCTCTCGTCTCTCTCTCTCCTCCCTCTCTCCATGCTCTCTCCTCCCTCTTCTCTCTCTCTCTCTCTCTCTCCTCTCTCTCTCTCTCTCTCTCCCCCCTTTTGTTAATTTCAATTTGGGAATTTAGGATTTCTAATTTTCTAATTTAATTTCAAATTTTATAGATCTTTTGTTAATTTTAATTTGGGAATTTAGGATTTCTGATTTTCTAATTTAATTTCAAATTTTATAGATCTTAAAAATAGTTTGGAGTTCAATAGCAAACAAGTTTTTAGATCTTAAAATCACTATTTGAAAATTCATGTTTTTAAAAAGAATCATATTTTTTGAATTTAATTTTTTGAGTAGGATACCAAACAGGGGGACTTTTCCAAGTGGATAAAAATGTTAGAGAAAAAACCCCAAGTTATAATTCATAAACGAATCCATTTTTATCTGATAATTGGATGAAATTGGTAACATAAATATATTTTCTTGTCTAACTGTGTAGAACAATTGCAAAAGAAAAAAAATGAAAAAATGAAAAATTTTTGTAAGACTACGCATGATTAATAAAAGGCCTCTCAAGCAAGGAACTTTTATTTAATCAAGCGTAGCATGCATGACTAACAAAATTATTATTTTTATTATTTTTTATAATTGTATTCTATTAGAAGTCCGTCTTAAAAGTTTTTCTTTTTTTGACATTTAATACAGGGGATAAAAAAAGTATTAAGATGAACGTCTAAAAATAAAATTACAAAAGAGAAAAATAATAAAAAATAAAATTATTCATAAAATGAGGATAATATAATAAACTAATAGTTCTTTATATTTTAAAATTTTAAAATTTTAAAATTTTCTGATAATTCACTTAAGTGTCTCTTAATTCACCCAATTTGAAAATCAAGTTGATTTGGTGTAGAAATAATTCACTTAAAATACACAGGTTGTGGAATGAATTTCTCTCTCTCTCTCTCTCTCTGTGTGAAAAATCCCTTGCAGAGAAACTTCGATATTTACCCGACAATTTTTCAATGATATCATGTTTACTGATCGTAATCGGATTATGAGGAAATGAATTGAGAATGAGTTAGATTGAGGAGAAATAGATTTCGGATTCTTATTGAAGTTGTTTATTAAACTATATAAATTGAGGAGAGTTAGATTTTAGATTCTTATTGAAGTTGTTTACTAAATCATATGGAATTGGGGTTGCAGTAGTACTAATTACTAAAATGTCATTGTTGGGTTAAAATAAATGACAAATTTGGAATTTTAAAAATTGTATGAGGATATAATGGGTAAAAAAAATGAATTCCTAATGGATTAGATATCTAGAAATTAGAATACCACCTCCCACCCAAGAATTGAATTTCAACAAAATCAAGAATTCAATTTCTAATTTTGTGCGAACCCCACTTACTTTTTAATTCCTTGATGTGAAGTAAACACATGAATCATTCATACTTGGAATTCAATTCCTAATTCAAATTCCATTTCCTGATTACTAAACTAAACACACCATAAGCGAATAAAGCTTCAAATCTCAACTGAGGACAGTAAAGCATCTTCCTCAATACTAATCCTGAACATTACACTGAACGATGAAATTGTAAAATCCCATCACCACTAAGAAACCAAGCACAACGAAATTGAAGTTTGAACCTACCATTTGATTAGATGATGAACCCAACATTATTGCAATCAAATTTCTTGGTATCAAAGCTGCGGTAGAGAGAAATCAAGAGGTTGGGTCTGTGGTCATTGGGGGGACTGGTGTCTGGTTTTGGGGAGGAGAGAAGGGGAGGGCAGGGATCAGGAGAGCTTCTTGGGTTCAATTGATGCAAGAACCTTGTCTTCCTCCTCTTGGAGGCCGCTGAAGTCAATTAGAGCGATGGCGGACGAACCCACAAGAGAAGAGCTGGGTTTTGATCTTAGTCAATAATTATTAATTATTGATTACAGGTTACCCAATTAATAATTAGGAAGGCAAGCTTATGACCATCAAAATAGACAGAGAGAAACTTATTCCATTTGGTAAAGAAATGCTTGACCGATTCAGGGAGCAGGAAAAGGTGATCATTCCCGATATATATATACATACATCACGTAGGTGCCTACGTGATGTATGTACATATATACCTTGAAATTATCATCTTTTTCTTTTCAGAATGCATAAACATTACCAAAACACGTTTGGTATATATCTTTACAAAGATCTCATGAAAATTGCCCATGAAAACGTAAATGAAACCCGAACCCGTGTGAACTGAAGATAATTTATACAAACCCCGAACCCATGTGAATTGATTTGTACTTTAATTAGAGGTCAACGAATGGAATCAATTTGAACAAAAGCAAGCTACCAAATGTTTTGTAGATCGTAACTAAAAATGCCAAAGCAAAATTAAAGATGGTGGTGTCACGTAAAGGTCAACAATTGAAAGGTATAATTTTGAAGCAAAAAGCAATAGTTCAATGAAGGATGATAGCATATTACAGTCCTTGGCTAATATAGAAGATCAAAACAGTAAACACCACCACAAACCACTAAGGGAACAAGCTTTTGTAACACAAAGTCTCAAACAAAATACCTAACTCTATTTAAGACCCTAGAAGAATAAAGAATTCTGCGTTCAGCTCAGTTATAAAATCTCTCCTCTACATCTAGTTCAATGGTTTTGCGAATAGTCAAAGCTCAGGGGATGCTGACAGAATGGAGCCTGCAAAGAAGTCAAGAGTAAATTAAACTTAACGAACATACAAAAGTTCGACACAAAAACCCACGAGAAGCAGAGTAGACATATACGATCACAGATATAGTATATATTCTGTCATATGCTTTATAACCGTACTTCAAAGGGTCTCTCTGCATATGCATGCAAATGTAAAAGTCAATACATACCAGATTTATACATTTTATACTCATCACAGCAGACATTCCGACTTAAGATTAACCCAAAATATAAGAACGCATACTTGAATAATTTATTCTCAGCAAAATGCTTTCTCCTAATTTATCAAAATTAGAAATTTACACATATTTGGCCATTGCCAACAGACCTGAGGTTTTGTTTCCTTTCTACAGAATGTAGAGAAGCCAAAACTTTATTCAGAAGAGAGATTGCAAGATGGGCTACTCTCAAAGGCCTAACATATTGGGCAGAATGGATTCGGTTGAGACCAAGCCCAAATATAATTACAAACTAGAATCTGTTAAGCATTGGTTTGGTCTTGAATATTCTTTTCTGTAGGACAACTAGGCAATTAAGGTTTTCATACTGGAGACCTCTCCAGCAAAAGTTTGGTCCTGAAATTTCTTCTGTAGGAAAGTGACAACATTGAAAGAGTCGATTATAAACTGTGTAAAAACAGTTGAGAAAGGTATTGTGATTCATGAAGCTGCAGCTGCACTATGGCATTAGTAGGCTGCCAATAGCGGGAAATACAGAGAAAGTAAATGGACTGGAATGATCAAGGAATTGGGGTAATGTTTCAGTTAGTTTTTTTTTAGTTATCTAAATCACAATCGTGTTGGGCATGTTTAATATTATAATACTCAATGCCACACATGAGGGATAAAGGAATGAGGCTAAAGCCTTTCTACACCAAAGGTGTACAACCACAGAAAAGGCGTAAGCTATTTTACGCTTCCACCAAACATAGAAAAACACCTCAGGCATTTCTGTGTCACCTTTACCTACGTGTGCCCTCAGAAATTCCTAGCAATCCTATAACTTTCAAAAAACTTAAGTATTGTCCACTAATTAACAATAGTGACACCCCAAGTGGGCTCTCATGGTTTGATGTTAAAGATCTTCGAAGAAAAACAATATAAAAAAATGTAATGATCAAAAGCCCAACAAAAGGAGGAACTACATGAAAACATTCAAGTCTAAAGTGCAACCACACTTCCAAAATTGATCATTGAAGCATCTGGTAATGTATTCTAAAAAAAAAAATTACAGGGTTAAGGATTTGTTGCTTACCTGGATAACAGCTTGTCTGAACTGATCATACGAATGTGAATACATCATTGCAGCACTTGGCCACTGCATGTATGTAGCATCCCTATATGTCTGATTGAATCCCATGGCACAAAAGGGGCTCATAGCTGGGCTTGAAGGAGGCCCATAACTAATTGAAGCTTGAGCCCTTGGCATCTGAGAGAAAACAGTATCATACTGCACAAACTGGGGTTGAAGCTTTTGCATATTGACAGGTGCCAAGTTAAATCTTTGATTGGTAGGAAGACTCCTAACATACCTGTATCAGTAACGTATTATATTTTATTAGTTAATAACATTGTTTTCTTTCATAACACATAAATGTTGATATCATTATGCCCACACTAGTAATATCTATGTGTATCTGTATGTCATAAAACCAAGAGTTACACGAAGACAAGATATGAGAACACATGTCAATATAAGACAGCCACTGGTTACCAGATTAAAATTTTAAGCATTTCCAAAACATATAGGAAAAGAAAAAGAGAAAGGATACAAAGTATGTATCGAAGTTAATCCATAAAGGTATGAGCCATCTCTAATAATTTACAGCAAAAGATCATGGCATCATTATTTGAAACAGATATAATAATTTTAAAACAAAAACCTTGACACCCAGAAATGCAAGCATGCATGCATGTTTTTCACCAAGTGTAGCAGTGCAAAGGTTGTAGTGTCTTTATTAGGTAGATAAAAACAATCATAGTTCCCTCATCTCAACTTTGATAAATAGATGGACTCTTACCTCTCATAACTTCTATCATAATCTGGATCAGTACGGTCTTTCTCCCTATCTCTGAAAATGGCAACTCGAGATGAAGTACCAAGTTCCTTTATGGTTACATTCTTTTCTGGATCAATCATAGAGTTCCTGGAATTTTCATTCTCATCCCTGCTCAAAGATGCTTTTGTCACATCCGGTGGGACCTGATATGTTGTATCACCAGAGTCAGAACTGCTAGGACTGCTAAATATGCGAGCCCTTGCCCTATTGTACTCCTCCTTCCTCTCTTCTACACTTCTCACAGGACTTCGTTTGATCCCAGCTCCATGAGTTTCATTCATATTATTTTTATTAGACCTAGGCTTGATGACAGTTTTAATCTGCTCAGGTTTATTGTTTTCTGACTGCTTAACAGGTATTTCAGATAGCTGAATTGCTGGGTATTTTCTTTCTGCTGTTTTCCTCACCAAAATCCTATTTCCTTGTCCATCTGAGCCACTATCCTGAACCATAGTCTGCAAACCATAGTGCTGAGAAACACGGTGTGCAGCAAGTCGAAGGTAGGAGGTAGGGAAATGTTGGAACTCAAATAGCTGCTCATCAGGATTATGCAGAAACCTCTGGATATCAAGTTCCATTCGCAAAACTGAAAAGGAAAGACATCTACTAATTAGAAAAGTAAAATAACCAAAATATTCAAAGAAACAATCACTGCAAAAACTAGGAGTCTAGGATGCAGTTGCATCAAACAGCATGCCCAATGAGAACACCATGTTGCTATTCAGTTATGCAGTTTTAAAGAAATCAGAAAGTTACAATCATTGTGTTATCTGCTAAGCATTATTCCTCAGAAACTTTAAGCTTAACAAATATAATGTATTTTTATCCTTGTGAAAATCTGTTTTATTATCCTAAATACTTCCTTCTCAACCCATTGATTATCTTACACAGTTGTCAGAAAGATTTCACTGACCCAGAAAAAAAGGCTTGCTAATAGAAGAAGGTAATCCATCGCATCAACGGCAATGCCTCAGAAAGATCCAGCCTAACGAATAATGATGCCATGATTTAACAAGGATGATTTAAGAGATGTTTGGGCAAATTCATATTTGAATGCGACTCCAAATACATGCTTATCTCACTGTCCTGTTACATCATTATTTTCTTCCTTGGATCGTAGTTACTTATAAATGGATAAAATCGTAAGCATGCATAGAAGATATAGAAATCAATAACGAATCTGCAAAAAGCTGATGTCCAAACTTACAACAAGAACGGATTTTTCCTCGTCTGGGATCTAAAAATAATATAAAAGCAAACAAGCTATCAACTGAGACTCACTCAGCACCTAATTCCCTTAGCTAAGGTTGAACAATTTCCAAAGAGGAATAAAACATGAATAAAAAAACATTCAAAATCATAACCCAGATCCGATTCCATACCAATCTAATCCAACAAAATCAACCGAAGGCGCATAGTAATATCATATTTCCTGCTATTCTCCATGATAATTCAGATTATTTTTATTTTTATTTTTTTCTGACAATAACCCTCAGACCACAAAACTCCCAAATCAGAAACCCAAATTTAGAAAACACAGATAAAAAAGTTTAACCTAACGAAAACCCATTAACATAAATTCAAATCCAACACTAAATTAGGGTTTACAATAAGAGATTACGAATAATTAAACAAAAAGAAAAACAAACTACTGACTGGTGAGACGGTGGCGAGGATTCTGGAGAGCCTCGACCAAGAAAGGGTCCACCATTGACTCCTCTTTTAGCCCCAAGAAGTTGACCGCATCATTCGAAGCTGAAGAAGATTCCATAGCTTACAGCTCTTTCTCTCTCTAGACGCTTCTAATGATTCCTCTTGTTTCTCTCTTCTCCTCTGTTTGGGTGAAAGAGAGGAAGAAGAGGGATTTGTAGGTGTTATTGGTCCGAGAGCATTTAGAAAAAGGGTAAGAGAGGAGATGAAGAAACCCCTTTGGTTTTTAATCCCACCAAAGGGAGGAGGTAAAGGGAAAAGATATCGAGACGGTGGTTTTAGATTTTTATAAAGAATAATGGCCCGTCTTGTAACGTTTTCGGAGAGTGTTTTCTGAGAATATTTTCAGAGAATGAAAACAAGAAAACTAATTTGCATTTTCAGGAAATGAAAATGCGTCTGGTAAATTAATTAGAAAACATCTTCAGAAAACAAAAACAATGAAAATGTGTCTGGTAGTACAATTTGAAAATAATAATATGTGACTTATTTTCAATTGTATTTTTGCTAATTTCAGTTTTTTTTAATAAAAAAAAAATCTGCTATTTTTCAAAGACAACAATTTATAAACAATAAAAAAATGTATAATTTAACAAATAAAAAATTCTAATGTTTTTTTTAAGACAAACTATCTTATCTCATTTCTTTTTTCTCTTTCTCTTTCTTTCTTCCTTTCCTTCCTTCCCAGGCCCGTGCCCTTCTTTTTTTCTTTTTTCCTTTTTTCTTCTTCTATTCCTTCCTTTTTTCTTTCTTCCTTTTTCTCTGTTTTCTCTTCTCTTCTTCTTCCTCTATATGATTCTTTCTCTTCTTCTTCCTCTCTTATTTTTTATTTTCTTCTTCCTCTCTTATTTTTTATTTTCTTCTTCCTCTCTCTGATTCTTCCTGTTCTTCTTCTCTCTTCATACCCATCCTCTCTCTGTTTTCATTTGTTAATGGTTGGTGGTGGTTCCATTGGGTGGTGATAGTGGTTCAACTGGGTTTGTGGCAGTTATGGTTCGATTGCTTTGGTGGTGATCGTGCTTTGGAGGTGCCGGTGCGGCAAACTAGACGATGGGTCTGGATCGGGGGAGATGGGTTTCCACAGTGGTGCTCCTTATTTTTTTTTTTTTTTTTTTTTTTTTTTTGGTCTGGTGCTTGATAAGTAAATCACGATCTCAGAGATTTTAGAAGAAGAAGAATAGCTATGGAGAATTTCAAAGACAAGAATCGATGTTGATTGGAGAAAGAGAGATGGAAAAAATGAATTATCGTATGGACTGAAAATGAAAACGTTGAAAACGAAAACAACATAATATCGTTTTCAACTTTTGTTCATGAATTGGATTTGTTTTTGGAAAATATTTTTAGGGAAAACAAAAACGTTCCACCGAACAGGTTTTTGCCAGAAAACAGGAAATGAAAACAGAAAACGGGCCGTGAAAACGATACCGAACGCGGCCTAAGTTTTGGGCCCTTTTGGTTTTTAATCCCACCAAAGGGAGGAGGTAAAGGGAAAAGATACCGAGACGGTGGTTTTAAATTTTTATAAAAATTAAGTTTTGGGACAAAGCTTAATTAGTAGGAAAATACATTGACTTGCAAATCAATGCTCTCGAACTCTATGACAACTCGGTTATGTACCGGTGTAAGAAAGCATCTAGTGAAAATAAAGGATTATACCAAAATTCCAGCTCCAATGACATATATTAAGCTGTTGTAGTTAAGAAGCTCGTAGTATTGCTTGTTACAATTTGCAACGTAAAAGACAAAAAATCATCCCCAAATTATCTCTACTATTATAAAGCCAGGGTAAAAGCAGTTAAGGTAGTTGGGGTCATAGGTTTCACCAAAAAACTTAATCCCAACAACACCCTCAAAACAAAAAATGATAATCTCTTGTAAAATATCATGTATGTTATAAAACTAAAGAGATTGTGGAGAGAATATAGAGAAATTAAGCTGTAATAGAATCCGATGTTTTCATTGAGTCTGTTGTTCTGTGTATTACAATGAAGGAAGGAAGCCCACTTATAGGCAAAGTCTCTTGGCTTCCTGTGGATGTGCAATCATGTCTTCCAAATTCATGTCTTCCAATATGTGGATTCCACTTCCACAATACTTTCATCATTATATTCTTCATTATTTCCAAAATGTGTGGGCTCCACTCAATACTTTACAACACTCCCCCTTGGAGACCATCATATACAGAATATGCCTCGTTAAAAACCTTGCTAGTAAAACCCAATAGGACAAAAATTGGTTGAATGGAAAAAGAGTACATAACCATGTATAACATAAAATTCTGTGTATATTGACACGTGTGCAACACTGCCTCGTTAAAACCTTGTCATGAAAAACCTAGTGGGACAAAAACCTGGCCGAAGGAAAAAGAGTACAGTGTGTGAAGGTCTTTATTGATAGCACGCTCCCCCTGATGCTTGGCAAAATATCTTAAGCCATACAGTTGATCATATTTCTGAATATCATAGTTGACACTGCTTCTGTGAATCAATCTTGTAATATTGTTGGATGCTCCCATTGAAGAATATCTCCCCTTGAAATCTTCATGACTAACTTTTTCCAATAAGCGGCCATAGAAATTTCCAGAGTCTGCGTATCCAACAAAATCTGGGCTATTTGTAAGTTTACTTGAAAAAAATATACCCGTATATGGTGTTATGCGGAGATAGCATCAAATACGCCTCACATCATCCCAAAGTGGTGGTGATGGAGCTGAGCTCTATCTGGAAAATATAATATCGGGCCTAGTATACTTCCGGATAATTATTTAAGTGCCTAACGGATAATCCACATAAAAATACTTCAATATCTTCTTAGTATAAGCAAGAATCTCGCTGGCATAATGTTAGATCTTCAGGCCGAGACAAGTATTTCTTGAACTCTTCTAGAGTTTTAATGTGTTGCAAACATATTATAATTAATATACTCACTGAGGAAATTTATGCATATTAATATTGAGTACAGATTTTGTGCTTTAGGTACATGTCCTTTAGGGACTTGCTTCATGCAATTACAATCCTTTAAGGGATTTTGTTTAATGGATTAAACTTTATGACACATTATATAGCTTTAACCCAACTATTTGTTCTGTTTGTACATCTTTAGGGAATCGCTTATGGTGATATACTCTGTTCATTTAATAACCCTTAAAAATAATATGTTGGTCTCTGTAAATGTGCTCTGTAAATGTGTAATAAGGAGGCACAATTGCATCTGTAAATATGGAGAAACCCAACATTTCTTGTTTCTGCCAGAAACATTATGTCATATAAAGTGGGTATATTCCTTTTTATTCCAAACACCCAACTATAAATTTCAGTATTAACATCTTTTAGGGTTCGTATTGTGGGTTTTGACAGGACCCACCCTGGACTCCTCAGAATCCGGGACGAATCCCGTGAAAGTTCTGGCATCAAACCGATGCCGGGCCCAATTACTAAATACCGAGACTTTCTGCCAAAATTTTAGCAGAGTCTCCCCTGTAAATTAAACTTTTCCCAAATTTTCAACTTGTTAAAAACACACATATATATATATATATATATATCCATATCCCAACAGGTAGCATGCTTCATATGCAATTAAACAGTTTACAACAAAGGCCTCTGGCCTCACAAATCACACCCTAGCACGGGTGATAACAGAGCAAATCTAAGTATTTCGATTACAACAAAACAAAGTTCAACGGAAATAAAATGAAGAAAAGAATCCTACTGAGGCTTAGAGTTCATAAGTGGAAATCTCGACTCAGTCGTACGATTCGAATAACGCTACTGCCTAAGGGGTGCAAAACAAAAAGGTGTGAGTGGACAAAAACAAAGTTCATTTCACATTTGAAATCAACATAGTATAACCTCACAGTTTAGAAAACAATGCTAAAATGTTTGGTCAAAAACCAACTAAATCCGAAATCCCACAATGAAACTTTAATACTCAACCCATCCAAACTTTTCCTTATAATGCCTAAACTAAACTCCCGAAACACGTGCCCGTTGGCATGACAAGCGAGAAAGTATCCTCACCGAGAAACAATATGAATGAATAATTATATATATATATATGTATATATATGTATAATATAAGAGATATATGGTTACATATGACAACCCCTAGTTTGTACCGGGGAAACAATCCAACTGGGGATTGTTTGACTAGTCCACATGGAAGAATCCTTAATTTATCATGTGGCTAGGGAACGAGCCGTTCAACTGGGGGACTAACTCTCAACCAACATGTACAGTCGAATCCTCAAGACTCGTACGCCTGTGACAAGTCCTACGAGCACTGACTACCCAACTAAGGGTCTACGAAACATCCCGTCAAGGGTGCCCAGGTCCTGACATTTCCAAGTATCCCAAGTTTCCATATCCAAATTTCCAAATCCGGGGAGGTACATAGGGTAGTGCTTATAGCACTTCAAACTAACATTCTAATCTCATTTCCGTCCACAACCTCACATCAACAACCCAAGTACCCCACACATAGCCAAACATAGATAGAAATTCTTAAGATCCATATATATATATATATATATATATATCAATTAGGGAAAAACTTATATTTTTTTAAAGACATATTATTTTTATTCAATAATATCTTAGAATTATGTATATAATATGTGAATTTTTTGTCTTATTGAAATTTTTGTAAAAAATAAGTGTACTAAACATAAGAAATATGTGCGTACGTGTATAATACATTATTAAACGTGAGAGTGCTAAAATATTTATATGGGTAATAACTTTGGAAAAGTAAAAATTCAAAAAGGGACAATAGATACTCGATTAATGGCCTAATAATAACGGATAGGGTCTTGGGCTATGAAGAAATTTAATTAAGACACCCAAACGATTTCACAAAAGACTTAATAAATATAAATTAATTATTTGGTGGACTTTTTCTTTAATTTTGTATATTAATAATAATTAAAATATAAGCACTAATTAAAGTAATTCAAAAAGGCTAAGATATTGCTCAATTACATATGTTTTATTAAAGAAGAAGGCCAAAAAACAAAACAAAATAAACTAATTATATTTAAAAAAAAAATGGAGGGAAGAAAAAAAAAAAAAAAAAAAAAAAAAAAAAAAAAAAAAAACCCAGATTAAATTTTCTTTTTAAATAGTATAGCCGCGCGGCTATACTACTTACATATTAAGAAAAGGACGCACACAAAACATAGTTGCCACGTGTCAAAACAGTAAAGCCAGACGGCTATACTATTTTGAACAAAATTGGGAAAGAGGAGTATAGCCGGACGGCTATACTATTTCTTAAAGAAAATTCAGGAAGAATCTAGGATAGCCGGGCGGCTATAATCTTTATAACACCCGCCCAGAGCCTATGCGCCACGTGTCAAATTTGTACAGCCGGGTGGCTGCACTATTTATATTTAAAAACTTTTAAAAACGCGCATAGCCGTATAGCCGCACGGCTATACTAATTTTAAAAAACAATTAGGGAAAAACTGAAATTTTTTTAAATACATATTATTTTTATTCAATAATATGTTAGAATTATGTGTATAATACATGAATTTTTTGTCTTATTGAAATTTTTGTAAAAACTAAGTGTACTAAACATTAGAAATACGTGCGTACGTGTATAATACATTATTTAAGTGAAATGGATTCTCAGATATCTCCGGGGTACCTCCAAAATGAGTTTATGCTTTGGAGGTGGAAAACCTGAATTGATTGGCTACACAGATGCAGACATGGCAGGAGATCTTGATTCCAGAAAATCTACTTCAGGATACCTGATTACATTTTCAGGGGGAGCAGTTTCGTGGCAATCAAAGCTACATAAATGTGTTGCTCTATCAACTACAGAGGCAGAGTTTATTGCAGCTACTGAAGCGTGCAAAGAAATGCTCTGGATGAAGCGATTCCTACAAGAATTAGGACAAGAGCAGCATAAATATATTTTGCATTGTGATAGTCAGAGTGCGATCCACTTGAGTAAGAATCTGAGTTTTCACTCGAGGTCGAAGCACATTGATGTGCGATATCACTGGATACGTGATGTATTGGAGTCTAAGCAATTACAGCTTGAGAAAATCCATATTGATGACAATAGTTCAGATATGATGACCAAGTCCTTACCTAAGGACAAGTACGAATTTTGCAGAGGAGCAGCTGGACTGCTGGAGCCCTCCACCTAAGTCGGTAGGGGGAGATTGATGGGTTTCCCTCGTTAATGGAGGAGAGAAAAAGAAGGAAATAAATATTAAAATAAAATGAAAGCAACGACGGGAAAATTTGAAGAAAATGAATGGAAGAGAAAATGAGAAGAATTCTCTTTCATGCATGGCCACCGATTAGTTAGGAACGTTTGCCTATAAAAGCAATTGCATTAATTCTTTCAGTTAAATGCATCCCTTAGAAAATCAAAACATAGAGAGTTTTGAGAGATAAGAAAACCTCACTTGTGTGAGAGAGAAAATCCTCTTATAGAATACAAATCTTGACTTAGTTTTAATGCAAGTACATACGAGTGTTAATTTTGCCCATTTTATTTACACAAGGCTAAGAGAAGTTAGATCATGGGAGTGCCATATTTATTTATTGGCTCTTTGATTTTTCGCCATCTTTCCCAACACCATGTTTGTTTCGTCTGTCACAATGGTTGTGATGCTATCTTGCCACGACTTCAAGAGGTCAGATAATAATCAAAAGTGGCCTGCCTCAGCTGTGGCTGTAAATGAAAGTGCATTATTAATTTCTTGAGCCTCAAGTTTGTAGAATTGGATCAAATTTCATTGATCATAAATGCATTAACTTCCAATTTTTTTATGTGCCCTGCAACATAGTATTTGTTTGCTTTCCTTTTTGGGTTTAATCTCAAGGTTACATGAAGTCCTGGAATTGAAAAACTTGAGGTAAAATTTCAATTTAGAAACCAAAATTTTGACCATAGACTGGAAAAAAATGAAGTTAATCTTCTAATTTCTAGCCTTTGAAACTCTATTACATTCGTTTTTTGATTCAAATTACCTTTCTTTAGGGTACCTACTATCCAACATCTCCAAATTAACTTGCATACGTAATTGCATTTACAATTTGACATTAAAAAATTTGGTGCTTCCAATCCAACTCATTGAGAAAACAGACTCAAGAAGGAAGAAGGAAGATGAGAGATAGAAGTATAGAGCAATTGAACTGACCAAGATGATTTTGGTCTCTGTATTACAGCCGTATATATCATGTACAGGAGGTAGACTTTTTCTCAAGTCTATTTAAAGAAAATAAGCAATACAAGGTAAGTAGCATTAATCTTATATATGTCAGAATAAACTACAAATCAATCTTTAGCTAATATATTGCTGATCTTGTGATATCGAGTCTGTCAATACAGATATTTGGGGATCGACTGATTTCATGGGATTAGCTGTGGTGGTATTCTCTTTAGTTTCAATTGTTTCTTCATGCTGATGAATGTTCACAACCACCTCTGTGATTCTCTGACTAACCTCTTTAACCGGCTGCCTTCCCGGAAGCTGGTGGTCATGAAAAGGTCTGGTGTTTGTGTCCATGAAATGGAGGAATATGACCAAAACCAAGGAGGACATAAACATTGGTATTGGACCAAAAAACCACAGAAGCAGAGTTAGAGCAAAATAGAGTGCTCTAAGCCCAAGTGACCAGAAATCACCTCCTCTTATAACTGCCAGCTCCACGTACGAAGCCGGAATATTACTGTCTGGTGTGCTTATCAGATAGTTTGCATGAACAAAGTGCCTCGCTGATTGAACAAAGCATGCAAAGGCTAGAAGAAGACAAGTTAAGAGGCTTATGTACTTGATGGTAAGGATTGAGGGGTTGACGTTGCCGTAGATTAATTCGCTCGTAAAGACTTCATGGCTGGAACTACTTCCAAGCCAAGTTCCAATGAGAGAACTGAGACTTAAGGAGACGGAACACAAAAAAGTTACTGCTGATATGTTGGAGGAAATCACACTGAGGACTGTGCCAACATCTCTGTTATCATCCTGCATAATTCTTTCAACCCAAGCTCTTTTGTCATTGTTCTCAAAGCCAATGGTTGTGGTCTGAGGGAGATGAAGATATCTGTAGAGAAGGATGAGGTGATAGAGAAACATGATTAGCAATCCACTTGGGACCAACACCAAATCAAGGTCCTCCTTTCCAAAAGCCATGACTTTCCTTGCTGGTTTGCTAACTGATAAAAGAATGAAGATGGGAGATCTAATTTGTTACTGGATTTTTACGGTTAGGTGAAATTCCAACTGTTAGTTCACAGATTGTAGACAACTGGTACTATCCAATCCATATAATATTTCAATTTAGAGTCTTTTTTGGTTATTTATAGCAAACTAAAACCTAGAAATAAAAGGATAAAAATCCTAAATAAAATAGGAAACTTTAAACTAGAAATATAGAAATCTGGAAAAGTAGAAATCCTACTAGTAATTGGAAAACTAGAGAATTTAGGAAACAAACAAATACATTAAAACTAATAAATTTGGGTCCTACGAATCTTGCATGTTAATATGCAAAAATGTTAATATTAATTCTTTTGATTCAAACCCCGTAAGAGTAGGAAAGTTTTCTGCAACAAAAAGAGGAATCGATACTCGGGCAATAAGAAACTTAGATTAATGCAGACCAATTTATGGTTTTCAATTGTAGAGATAGACTGGATAATATGCCTTTCAAGTATTGGCATTTGGCAAGTACATCAAATTTCAGTTTGGAACCCTCGAGGACAGTAGTTTCAGCTTCCTCCAAGCCAGGTTGAGCAGATCTAAGCTGTTTCGGAAGTTCCCATGCCGCCTTCAATTCAGAGCTCCGGCTCACTTGAATGTCTTATTCCTTAGCCCGGATTCTTTTCAATTTCACCTGAAGCTTCAAGATTTGAAGTTCCATATCACGGGCTTTGATCCTGAGTTGTTTGAGCTCGAAATTTTGAGAACGACATTGAGACCTGTGTTTAGCAAGGTCTATGGAGGCATTTTGACAACCATTTTTTCAAAACGAGTATAGCCGCACATCTATACTATTTTTAAATAACAAATGGGGGAAAAATGAGATTTTTTTAAATACATATTATTTTTATTCAATAATATGTTAGAATTATGTGTATAATACGTGAATTTTGTGTCTTATTAAAATTTTTGTAAAAAATAAGTGTGCTAAATATGAGAAATACGTGCGTACGTGTATATATATATAACTCAAGATACTCAAATGTGCCAAAACCCAAATATATATATTACAAATGCTTAATAAAAGCATTAAGTTAAACAATTGAATATATAATATATTCAATAAATCATTAAAACAATATGCATAAATTTTCCACCATAAAACCATGCTTATCATTTGAAAACAAAGTCCACTCATAAGTAGTCTCATGCTGCTTGACCTTGAGAGGGTCTCGCCTACTGCGTGTGAGTAACCGGAGCACCTATTTCAGAATACGGGTTACAAAATTAATATAAAACATCTCGAACGAAAACTTTTAAATTAAAATCCTAGTTTCCCAGGTTTTAAGGGAGCGCATGAGGAATGAGACGTTCCTAAAGTCCAACTACATGTTTCGAATGAAGAGATAGCCTCGGAAGACGCTCGGTCAACCAGGCGGTCAAACTTTCTAAATTGGGTCATTCGGGCCCACAGGACCCACGGCCTCCGATTTCTGATCCAGAAGTTCCTATGGGTTCCACAAGGTTTAGAAAACATCTCCTGCAAGTTTGGTCCGAAACGAACGGTCGGATCACTCGCGATCGTACGATCGGACGGTTATCGTTTAACGCAAACTTTAAGTTATTGAATCGGAACATCCGGGGCTCTGATTCACGATCTGTGAATTCCGACATGATCCTAGGGATGCATAGATCAACATATATTGAAATTAAGTCGATCCAACGGTCCAAACATGTTGAACCAGGACAACGCCTAATATGCGATATCCGATAGACGACCAAACGATAACCAAATTGAAATCTGAGCATACCGTCGTGCTCATAACAACATGAGGATTATTTTAGGACTTTAAGATCGGCCAAAAAGTGACCCATGCGCCACCCCACACGCTGGCAGAGTGTGGGTGCCCAAATCAATTTCCGGCGATCGGAAAAACTCCAAACCGACGGTCAAGACTTATACAGACTAGTTGGATCCCAATTGATCCCCTTCCAATGGCTAAGTTAGAGGTGGTTTTAGAGTGGAGCGAAGGATGCAGAGTTTCAAGATGAGAATATTTATTACCTTTGTCCTAATACAGGTGAGGGGTATTTATAGGGGGAGAAAGAGAGATCATATCTCCTCAAATCTTGCCAGAAATGAGATCTTTATCTTTAACCCTTCCCAATGGTGGGACTGGAGAGCAATCATGGGCGCCTATCACCATGCTGGTTTCTAGGGATCTAGTAGTAAGGTGACACTTGGCTTGGATGTGAAGCGCATTGAATGATCCCTCTCCATCATCATGTTGGTTACCAGGAATCAAGTAGCAAGGTGACACCTAACTTGGATGTGAAGCGCATTAAATGATTCATCTCCATCACCATGCTGGCAAAATTGTGATGAAGCTTTGCCATTTGTCCAGTAAGAATTCTTCAACACTATAAATTCTTTGTGTATTTAATATGTTACTATTTATTTAGATTTAATATGTCACTGTATTAATTTGAATATAATCATTTGTTATGTATGTAGAGAACATAAAAACATTCTAATCCAGTCTAGTGTTGATAATGTGGAGGAGTCATATAGGCTTCAATTTTCAAACTGGATTTCTAAAAGGGTATGGATAATATTGTATTGTAAAAATTATTGACTGTCATAGATATTTATTTAAAAATATTTTTTCCTTTCTATGCAGGTCACAGAACTATACAACGATGGTAAAGTTAGTAAGCAAATGCTTTCTTTGGCTCGAGGTCCTAAAAGGCGAGTAACTTATTATCCTAGTTATTATATTAGTGGTTTTAGATTTCATACATTGTAGCGTGATGAGAATAAAAAAACACAAAATAGTGGAGTTATGGTTAAGGAGGAGAATCAGATTGACGATGTGCCCTGGTATGGAATCTTAGTAGATATTGTTGAGCTCCGTTACACATAAGGAAATAGAGTTGTATTGTTCAATTGTGATCGGTATGACACAGCACGAAAAGGAATAGGTTACAAGATAGATCGTTATGGAATAATCACTGTTAATACAACATGAAAGCTAAATACTCAAGAGCCATTCGTACTAGCAAGCCAAGCAACTCAAGTTTTTTATGTGAAGGGGGTTAAAAATAAAATTTGGAGTTTTGTAGTGGAAACAAATCCAAGAAATGCTTATGAGATGACTAATGATGAGATTGAGCCATTCCAAGAAGCAGAGACTCAAAGTCAAAGCATGCATGCCATCCAAAATGATGTTGAAGACAACGAAATTGATTGAAGAAAGGATGTGATTCAACTTACAACTATGGGATGAGTTTGTCATTGTAATTGTGTTTGTCAATTTTTTTGTAATTTTTTTTTTTTTTTTTTTTTTTTTATTTATTTTGGAGTCTGATTGGTTATTATCAATCAAATTTTTTTTACTTATTCTAATGGGAAATTGGCATTCAAATATTTTTCCTAGAGGACATATTTCTCCTCGAAAATAGTCAAACAATTCAAATGAAAGGAGAACCCCTCAAAAATATTCAAGCAATTCGGACGGAATAAGAAGCCTCTCAGAAATAGTCAAACAGTTCTGACGGAATGTGAAGGCCCTCGGAAATAATCATCCTATTTCTGTCAAATGTACTTTTGGTCGGTAATAAAGTTGGCGCCAAGTCTTCTCGCCAAATAAATTACATTTCCGACAACAATCGAGACTTTTTATGAGGGTATTTGCTTTGTTGGAAATAAATTTCAGGCCCGTGACATATTTCCAACGGACAACATTTTTTGGTCGGAAAAAAACACTATTACCGAGGGAATTTCGAGGCCCTCGAAAAATGTTGGCCGGTAATGACCCCTTTTTTTGTAGTGTCTGTAAATTGCTCGTTTCCAAAACATTTCACATGTACGAAACTCAATTCAAATATCCACAACCGTTCAACATGCACAAGGTTAGAATTCACGCAATCCAACATCCAATCTTTATGGCATTAGGCCTTACAGAAAACACTAGGGCAATTTCAGAGCATGCTAATTCAGTTAATTTACAAAAGTAGTACGAATACATGAGAATATCCTACATAGTGGAAGAAAAAAAAAGATGAGTGGTGGGTGATGATCGCCCAGTGGTGGTGCTCTGGTACACTCTTACTGCTTGGGGGCGCAAAACATTAAAAACTGTGAGTGGACAAAAGAAAGTTTTGGAAAATAGAATATCAACATACTAAACAAATAAGGGAATGCAATATAACATGCAAACTAGGAGTGGGCGTGGTCCGGTTCTCACCTCAAACCGGAACCAAAACTGGTATTATTTAACCAGTCCGATTCGGTCCGGTTTAGGCAAAAAAAAAATTTCAAAAACCAGTAGGTTCAGTTCTGACCGGTTCCGGTTTTGAACCGGATTATTATTTTAATTTTTTTTCAAAATTTTTTTTTAATTTTTATAATTAATAACTAATTTTTTGGCTTAAAAATTAACAAAGAATCCAATTTATACATTTAGAAATTTTTTGAAGTTGAACTTGGAAAAATAGTAATTATAAAATTTAAAATATGGCATTATATTTTAAAATTTTGTAAAAAAAAATAAAATTATATGACCGGTCCGGTGCGGCGCGGTGTAAAACCAGAACCAGAACCGATTCGGTCCGGTTTGTTGACTTTTTTGGTCAACCAATTTTTTTTCACCGGTTCAGTTCGATGTTCCGGTTTTCCGGTCCCGATGCCCATCCCTAATGCAAACCTTAATATGAAAGAGAGAGGCAATTCCAGAGAAACGTACCGATTCAAACGTTCAAATGACTTTGGATGATTGAGAAATAGAAAGACTAGATGATGGAGGTTCTGCGACAACAGAAGAGGAAGTGAAAGAGAATAGGGAGTTTCTGCAACAAGAGAAGAGGAATACACAAATTTATGTCTGGTATGTGAAATTTTGGGAGTTATGATTAAGATTCATTCATAAATTAATGAAGAAGAAAGGCGTGACTGTAAGGAAGAGCAAAGACGTGTTTTTTTTCTTCTTCTTAAAAGAAGCACGACTTGACACATGGGCTAAGGGGAAACTGTAGCCTACCCGTTTGCACCATAAGCTTGCTTTTTCTCATAAACTAGTCAAATGCATTTCAATGGTTGCGATTGATTCTCATATAAGGTTCTCACTGTTCCCACCTGATTCGAGTCCAAATTTACATACAATTATTGAAGCTGCTCTGCCCAAATTTAAGGGGGGTGTATTCAATTCAAACTTTTAATGACTTTTATAGAGTTTAAAAGTCTGGAAGTATTTAATTTAGACTTTTAAAAGAGTATATAAAAGTCTAGTGCTTTCTTTTCAATGAAATCACTGTTTCTAAAAAAAAGTCTAGTGGTATTCAATTGTGATTTTTAAAAAGTATTTAAAAGTTTGGTGGTATCCAGTTATGAATTTTAAAAAGTATTTAAAAGTTTAGTGGTATCCAAAAAGTTAATGACTTTTAAAAAGTTTATTAAATAAATGAATTTTCCATAATTGTTAAGAGTAAAATCTTGCCAATTTACTAGTGACTTTTATCAATTATACGAAAAGAATTTAAGAAATTGCCAATTCTATGAAAGTCTTTATAAGTATGAATTGAATACACCCGAAGTCCCCCCGTAAGTCCCCTTATTTGAAATCATCGGCCCATCGTGATGCACCTCTCAGCCCATCTGGACTTGAGCCCTCTCTTCGTCTTCTCAGCGTGAAGCTCCATCGCTCTCTATTCCGTCGGTCTCTCTCTCCAGCTCTCGCTTCCGCTCTCTCGCTCGCTTTGGCTATCGCTCTTTTCCTGCTCACTGCCTCTCCCTCCTCTTCGCGCTCTCCCTCCTACTTGCTCTCACTTACATCTACAACGTGGTAGCTCTCTTGGATCGAGGAGGTGGTCGCTCTCTCTCAGCTCAGGTAGACAGTTCTCCCTCCTTTTTCTCTATTTAATATTAGCTTGGTAAATTTGATGAATTTGTTTAAATTTGTATTTTGGGTTTGATTAAGATAGTGGGTGGAATATGAAGTTGAACTTTCATTCAAGTGGGAAATTCTGGATTTGGTTTTGTTGATATGGCTGAAATTTGCATTACACATTTACCATGAGAAGAAAAACAAAAAAAAGCGGGGATCTCTTAAAACTATGTTTAGATTTAGCTTCTTCAAATGATCAATGCAACTTTTGATAAAATATTAAAAATTAAAAATCATTGCAACTTCCTTGAGCAGAGTTTGGTTTCTGATCAATCAGTGTGGTGCAATAGTCTAGTGGAAGTCCAGTCGTGCCATTTTGATCTTAGCCTACTGTATTTATATCTTAGAGTGGAACTCATGAGTTTTCATAGAACCTGAAAATGCCATTTAATATGATGCAACAGGAGAGCATATATAAAAAAAGAACAAGAAAACCTTTGTAATTTTGTAATTTGGACAGCAGTAGCATTCAGGTCGGTGAGGTATGGCGGCAGTGTCTATGCGCAGCAGGAGTAGAAGTACGGAGCTTTCTCCAGAGGAAGAAAGGATTTTGATAAGAGACATTGCTTTGGCTGCTGAAGCTAATTCCAAAGAGGGCGACATCTTCTACTTGCTTACTCAGAGGTTTGAACTTTGTGTCTTGTTTGTCTAAACATAATATTATTTTTCTTAATAGCATGTTGCATTTGATTATTAATTTTTTAAATTATCAGAAATTTGTTCTTCTTTGTGAAATGTTCATGTTTCGGTGTTTTTTAAATTGGTTTTTGTTAAAAGAAAAATCTTGGTTTGCTGCAAAAGGGGCTGTAAATTCATATGTTCAAATGAATGCTTTTGTTTTATGGGCTCATCTTGAATATGAAAATTGCTTCTAATGTCTTTTTAATTGGTTCCCAATATAGATGGTGGCAACATTGGATTGATTATGTGAACCAGGACCAACCCAATAACGCAAATGATGTATCCTTTGTGTCAGAGCATTATGATTCGGCTGGTTCCAGTACCTTGAAGAGGCCTGCTGGTATTGATAATTCTGACTTAATATATGATGCAGCATCAGCGGATACCAATTCGGGCATTGACATACATGATACTTTACTAGAAGGCCGTGATTATGTGTTGCTGCCACAAGAAGTTTGGAACCAATTGCATACATGGTGTGGAAATGTCATGCCTTTCTTTGTTATCCCTACCACTCTGAAAATTCGTATTCACATAGATGTTATTGTACACACACACACACACACACACACACACACACACACACACACACACACACACACACACACACATATATATATATATCTATGTAAATGCAATGTGTTCAGATGTGGGATATATTACTAGACTTCTGGTTGATGTCATTTTGTTTACTAGGAAATGATGAGAAAGGTATTGCATCATGCCTTATATAAGCAAACTCAGAAGTAATACTGAGACACCACTACCACTAATTGAATTGAATGAATTGTATTCTAGAGATTTGTTTCTTTCCTTTTAAAAAAATAAATAAAATTGTTGCAATGCAAACAGTCGATTGAGAAAAGTGAACATTTTAGGAATAAACCAGCCTTCTGTAAAATCTCTTTAGATTTGCATTTCAGTGACCGTACAGCATATACATACTTTGGATTGGAAGGAATAATGAAGACTGTACTATCTCTCCTTACTCTTAAATGATTACCCTTGTGAACTGATGTCAAGTTTCATCTCTGTGTTTTCAACCTGTTGGATTTATCAATTTCTAAGTGTGGTTGGAGGAGAATGTTTAGTCTAGAGTATTCCAAAAAAAAAAAAAAAAAAAAAAAAAAAAAAAAAAAAAAGTAAGTTAGGTAGACTACATGTGCTGTATTCCTGCAACCTGAAGTGTAAATAGAATTAATAGTGTTTGCTGGTTATAGGTATGGTGGTGGTCCAACATTGCCAAGGAAAGTGATTAGTTCAGGTCTTTCTCAGACAGAGATGGCAGTAGAAGTGTACCCTCTGCGTCTTCAATTACTTGTGATGCCAAAAGGTGACCGCTCTATTATAAGAATAAGCAAGAAGGTAAAATAGGCAGGTCTTGATATACCACTTTCTTCAGTGGCAATTGTGCCTCTTTAGTAAGGTCTTACTAAGTGTATGCTGATTTATTTATTTATTTTGTTAACCTGAAGATTGAAATATTTTGGGCAGGAAACCATTGCAGAACTTCACAGAAGAGCTTGTGATATCTTTGATCTTAGCATGGAACAAGTAATAGTTTCCTATGACTCTGCTACTACTGCATCTAGTTTCAGTGTCTTTATTTTAAATCTTTTATTCAGCAGCTCATTTACTCCAGCTATTTTGTTACTTGAGAGTTTCCTCACCTGAAGGTATGCATTTGGGATTACTATGGCCGCCGGAAACATGCACTGATGAACGACATGGATAAAACACTTGATGATGCCAATATACAGATGGATCAGGATGTGAGTCTTAGTTTGTTCCACCACTTTATTAGAACAACTATGCAAAATTCTGCTTTAGCATAGGGCTTCATAATTTTCATATGATGGTACATAGGACCTTTCATACGTTCACGTTCTGATTTAAGGCTACAGTTCCATAAAGATGTTTCTTCATCTTGGAATTTCGAACGTATTACTCCTTTTGCATGATATCATCGGAAGATTCCTATTTTCATAAATAGGTTATGGGTGTTTAAGTTTGTGTTGAAGTTTGCTTCAAAGCATCAAGTATGGATATATTGCTTTTGTGTTGCTGTGCACCAGAAACAGAATGTTTAATATTATTATTTACCATGTTGGTTTACAAAAGCATCTGTTTTGTTTGCACACTTTTTCTTTAAGAGGTTATGTTGCCAGATCATGTGCCTCTGTATTTAGGATTGGTGCATTGATGTGCATTTTGACAAATCTTGACAATTCGATTAATCTGATGGAATTAAATCAGTACATGTAAGATTAGAATAAAACTTTCCGTTTTCACCTTACCACAATTCCATCTCGCTGCCTGTCTCTTTTTCCTTCCCTCAAGTCATCTTTCCACCTTTTCCGTAAAATCACAAAAAACTTTACACAGCTGTGTCATTTGATAGTATCCAGATATCTACTGTCTTTTATCCTAAAAGTATAACAGGATCCATAATATGTATGGATGGGTGAAGGCGTCAAAGGCCTACTCTGGAAGTCTATAATTTTTTTAATTCTTGGGTTGATGACATTAGTGAATCCTACTATTTCTGTCTTCCTCTCAGATTCAATTGAAGAACATGACATCCATGTTCTTTTCTTTTATTTTTATTTTTTATAATTATAATTATAATTTTTATGAAGAACACCCATTTCCATAACAACCACTCTAATCTTTCTTAAGAAGAAGGCAAATGGGATATTGTTTATGGGAATCAAATTCTAAATTTGGATACTTATGAAACAACAGCTGTAGCTATTTGACTACTTGACATTTTGGAGAATAGAGGGGAGAAGAGACTGACATTGGAATGGGTTAGGGCTAAGGTCCAAAAAGAGAGTTTTATTCTTATCTGATGTGGACTGATTAATTCCATTAGGCTCCATTTGGGTGGAAGTGGGCTCCATTTGGATGGAAGTGGGCTTCATTTGGATGGAAGTATTTGAAAGAAATGATTTGGATTCGACAACAAAGCTAAATTTGCTAAAGAAAAATTAGAAAACATTGGATTGTATGTATGTGAAATAACTTGATGTAATACATTTGAAATGAATTTGAAATGACTATATGCATCGAGTCATTTGAAATCCATTTGTTTTCTTTAGTTCCTTCTTATTCAAATCTTGGCATACATGGAAAGTAGTCTAAATAAGCAGATGTTATAATGTCATCTAAATTCCTAGATTTGAAATCACTCCATCCAAATGGCCCTTAGCTTAATTGAATGTTAAAGATTCATTTAATTGCACATAAATGCACGATGCTAAATGCAGAAGCTCATGATCTGTATGGTTCCAGTTAGAGAGTAAGATGTGTCGCTTCCTATGAAGTAAATAATTTCTTTCAGTCTATCATTTTTAGTTCATGATGCATTGCTACACAAAACTTGATGAGTTTAACATCTTGGTAAAAGTCATAGAGAGTAACATGTCTAAATACTGCAAGTGCTTATTACTTGACAGCTTTCTTTCTTTTCTTCTTCTTCTTCTTCTTCTGTTTTTGTCTTTTTTCCCCCTAATTTCATGTTGGTTTTGTTTTGTAATCAATTAAAACAGATTCTGGTGGAGGTGCTTAACCCTGTCAATGGTACCACATTGGGCAGATCCACAAGTTCTGTTCGCTACAATGGATCTTTAGAGAAGGAAGGTGCCTCTGTTCTTGTAGAGCCTTCTAAGTCAAGCTTGTCGATTGCAGGAGGTTTATCTGCAACCAAGGGCGCATCAAGAAGCTACAGCGTGGAGCTCATACAAAGTCAAGGCCTAATTGCTAGAGAATTGGATACTCCATATGGGACAATTGGTGTTAGTACTAGGGGGTCGTCTTGTGGCTTGACAGGGTTGCAGAACCTTGGGAATACTTGTTTTATGAATAGTGCTATACAGTGCCTTGTTCATACTCCGGAGTTTGCTAGATATTTTCGGGAAGACTATCATCAGGAGATAAACTGGCAAAATCCTCTGGGCATGGTTGTAAGTTTCTAATATAGTATATTTGCATGGTTACTTTTTATCTGAGTATCCTGAAACCTATAATTTTGTTGTTATAAAAGACCGCCAAATTTTGTGAGTCAGTTTTTAAAATTTAGTTTCCTTTTTTTTTTCCTAGTGTTGTCTTCTAAGTGGCTTTGTTGCTGCCATTTGCTAAACTCAAAAAGTTTATTTTATCAAGCATGCAATATCTAGCTGTATGTGACACTTGCACAAATTATTGAGGTATGACATAATTTTTGCTCCTTATTCTCCTTTTAACATTTTAGGATTTTCTAGATTGAGAAAAATTCAATAAGCACATGAATGATGAGTCTCTATTAGGATATCTTGAATATATGGTACATATTGTGAGAATTTTTATTAGCTTATGTGGTTCATGACTTGTGTAGTTATGGAAACACACACAATTGATTTTAATATTTCCAGTTATCCTCTAGTTGACTTAGCCACAAGTTTTTTTTGGGTGCCTCTTGTGGATATGTTGTTGACAGTTGTATTTTTGTCCACTTTATTTTGATAACCTGGTTTTGTTTCTCATAAATAGAAAACTAGCTTAGCTAGCTACCTTGCATCATGCTTGTGGTGATTGAATACTCAGCTAAACTCAACAAAGGCAGCCATAAGATTCCTTGTTTTGCATGTATCTATAGATATGCATATTCCTAAATGTAGAAAGCGCTTCTCGAGAGGGAATCCTGTTTTTCTTCTTAACAAACGTGCAAAAATAATGTGTTCAATAACATGTCAATACTCATCAATGCATATTACATTTTAGATGTTTTAGTCTTGGATTGGTTAATCGCTTAAATGTTAGGTTTTAAGTATGACTTAAACAATTAAACCTGTCAATAGATGGGATCAAAGTTGAAAAATTGAGCATAAGTGACATGCCTATGAATGCTAGTACTTGAGAGCTTTATGAATGCTAGTAGTGAGACCTCCATGATTGCTTTTATGTTCAGTCAAACATATTTTCAAGGAGTACCTTGACTCTTCTTGAGGGTATTGCTGTAGATATCTTGTTAAAATTAGCTTGTTGATTGAAATCCAAGCAAGCGATTTGAAGAATATACTGAGATGGTGTTTGATGTTTCTGTGTTTTCAAAATTTTACTGATTTGCTTTTTTGGCTGAATTTTTTCACTGAATTGGTCAAAATGTAGGGTGAGCTAGCTCTAGCATTTGGTGAGTTACTTCGGAAGCTATGGGCACCTGGACGAACACCGGTTGCTCCTCGACCTTTTAAAACAAAACTTGCTCGTTTTGCACCTCAGTTTAGTGGTTACAATCAGCACGATTCTCAGGTTTGGTACTTGACACTATGTTTTCAGCAGCGTGCACACATGCAATTTGGATGAACTTAAAAGCTAATTGTTGTTTCAGGAGCTTTTGGCATTTTTGCTAGATGGTCTTCATGAAGATCTGAATCGTGTGAAACACAAACCATATATAAAGTCTAGAGATGCTGATGGCCGGCCTGATGAAGACGTAGCTGATGAGTATTGGGCAAACCACATTGCTCGTAATGATTCTATAATTGTTGATGTCTGCCAAGTGAGTATGTCATTGAAAAAATTATATGTCAAAAAATTGTTGTTACACTGCTGCTTCAAGTATTTTTATTTTTATTGTTTGTTTGAATTTGAAGTTGATTCTGCTTGTTATCTTTTCTTCCATTATGCTTTTTCAATCAAAGACGTACTAGATAATGCTAGATAGGGTTTGCAAGACACAGCGCTTGTAAATAGTGTCAATCTTTGCCATGATGTAGTATATTGTAAAGAAAGAGATATGCCTTTGGTTGTGCTGGGTATCTCTCCATATGGTGGATGCGGATACCTGGATTCTTGCAATACCTGGTGTGTTGCAACTTCAAGTGCTGTTCTAATTGCTGTTTTTTTACACTGTTGGGATTTGGTGCTAGATGTCTATCTTGCTTCCTACTTGTATTTTTGCTTGCAATTCTGTTTCCTTTTTGTTAAATGATGCATGCCCTCCCCTCAACGTAGGTAGGTGATGCATACCTCTCTTGCTACCATTGTCATTGAACAATGTTATTAATGTATTAAAAGTATATTATTATCCAACATGTGGAAAGCTTGGTGGTCAACCTTAATTTTATTTGATATGAAAATGTTCTTTCAAGGTGAGGAACTTACCATTTTGTTCTTTCTTACACTCCTAATGCAGGAGCATCTACGAAGCTCTCTAAGATTACTTAGGCCTGTGACTCAATTGGGCTAGGGTTCTATTTACTTTAAATTATTAGGTACTTTTTTTTTCCTACTCTTACTAGGATTTGGTTTAATTTCTTGTTTAGGTTTTAATTTCCTATGTCAATTAGGTTTTCTGTATTCTAGTATAAATAGGCTGGTTAGAGACTCTTGTATGAGTTTTGTTGATAAATATAATTTCAGACTTTAGTCTATAGAGTTTATATTGGGATTTTGCCCTAGAACTCAATTATCTTCGTTCCAACTTCGATTCTACTGCTTTATCCTTATATTCTCTGTATTTTGGGTATGTTTGGGTTGCTGGACAGCAGCTTATAGCCTCTGCCTTGCATCAACTCCTCATCACCTTATGGATCTCCTAAGAACAACTGCTACTCCTGCACCTTGCACCACTGCCCCAATATTCTGTCAACCCCACCCTTGTACCACCTACAATAACTCAATTGTATGGTCCATCTAATCCTTCCAATTTGTTCTCTCTCCTTTCTGTCCAGTTTCGTCACAATTCCTTCACCTGCAGTAAAGAAACCCAATGCTAATCTATTCCAAAAGCAGAGACATATTTTAATATTATCCTTGACAAGGGGGAAGATCAAAGCAAATGGCTTTTGTAGCCATACAAAACAAGAAACACAATTGGCATAACCTTTATGGGCATTGGTTGTAAAGGTTGTCGCTATATCTGGGTAAGTTAGTACTGCAGTGAGTCTGACAGTTTTGCTAGATTTATGTTTTCAGTCTAAGTAACTTCTGCTTTGAGCAATGTGGAGGTTTAGTGGTACTTATATGTCATGGAGATTTGGTTAGTTTTGCACCTTTATCGTTGGATGCTCAAGCGAGGCTCATTTACTTATGTTTTGTCATTTGAACCTCTTATCTCCAGCCATTGGAGCGGTTTTGTCAAACTTTAAACATGTTTTACTTTTTAAATAGATTTTTGAGGTTGGCTTATGAAATTTTAGGTTGTTCGAAGTTTTAAGACAATCTTGTAGGTTTGGGGTATTTGGATTCTTATCTGGTTTATATCTTAAGGTAATTGATTAGAGCTTTTATGTGCATTTGGGAAATTAGTATCTTGGGGACTCAAGTGATGGATTTGTATTGGAGCTTGGGTGGGTCTGGAATCCGAAGAAATTTAGCATGATATCAAGAGTGGTGGCGGTAGCTTCAAGACGAGTTGCAGTAGAGTGGCTTTTGATTGGAAAAATAAGGCAGAGACAAAAGTCGGGGACGTGGTAGAGTGCACATTGATGACCAGTGACAGCTCCTTAACTTCTGGAGGTTAGCATCACATCTGAAAAGTTCAAATGTGGGGCCTGTTATTTGAACACTTCGATAGGGAAGCGTGCGCTGTTTAAGCAAACCACAGGGAAGTTTATGTTATTGACTGAGTTAGACAGAAACATAGAAGTTATTTTTATTTTTTGATAAATACCCCTTGAATTTTCCTCTTTAAAGTTCTAAGTTGTTGTCTGTTGACATACTAATTGTTTTGATTTGCTGCCAGAGAGTCACATGCAACACTTAGTAAACATTAGGTGACACTTCCAGGATGACATACAATCCTAAGGTTTTTGCTCATAACCTTCTGAGGCTCGTCAACCTCAAAATCTCATCATGAGTGTTTTCAAACCAGTATATGGCAACTTGCCACTCATTTGGCTTAGCTGGTGCCTGAGTTTAAATATGTTGGTTGTAAATCTAGGTTTGTACTTTGTAAGTGTTTCCTTACCCTTGTCTGATTCTTCTCCTAGTGGGCTAATTCTATGGCTATTTGTTCTGACAATTCTATTCATGGAATAAGCAAATGATGGTTTTTGACTTTTCTTTGAATTTATTTTTTGATTACGTTATATGATGCACCAATTAGAAGCTTCCTGATTTTGTATCTCATTTATCAAAATAAAATCCTATTTTTACTGTTTGATGCTATGAAGGTCGGTGAGTCATTGCTTGGCATTTTCAAATCTAGATATGTTTTTACTGAATCTGGATCCTAATCGAAATGCTTATCCTGGTAGTTTGTATAAATGAAATTTTTGGCTGTGTTTATAAGGACTAAGAAAATATTGTTTGATAAGTGCTAACAAGATTGTCTTTATATGTCAGCTCAGCATAAATCCCCTAATGAAACGCTCCTACAGAATGTGTTTTTAAAACTTCATTACTTCAATCCATATATAAAGTACAAAATAGTTTTTCCTCACGGTTATGATGTTTCCTGTTTACAGGGCCAGTATAAGTCAACTTTGGTTTGTCCCATTTGCAATAAAGTCTCTGTTACTTTTGATCCTTTTATGTACCTTTCATTGCCACTCCAGTCCACCACCACTAGAACAATGACAGTAACAGTTTTTACTTGCGATGGAAGTGCATTGCCATCTGCTTGTACTGTCACAGTCCCTAAACAGGGACGTTGCAGGGACTGATCCAGATGCTTAGCAATGCTAGTTCTGTAAAGCACAGTGAGAAGCTTTTGCTTGTGGAGGTCTGTAGCATTTACATTTGGAATCTGATGCTTCTGTTCTTCTTTCGGAATGTGTATGGTTCGTTGAACTTATTCAATTTGTGGTTCACAGATACAACACCATATGGTTCAGAGATTTTAGAAGACCCATTAATATCATTATCTACCATCAAAGATGACGACCATCTTGCTGCTTTTAAGGTTCCAAAGTTGGCAAACACAAAATATCTTCAATTGATACACCGCCGTCGAGAGCAGTATGTATACTTTGATCTTGACCTTATAGTCTGCACTGTGCTTAGAAAGGCTGTCACCCACTCACCCCAAGTTTGATTCCCATGTTTTCCTTGTTTGATTAGTCCCTGATCTTAATCATTTTGCGCTTAACTAATTTAGCCATTTTTATATGTATCCTGAAAAAAGGCTGGTTGTTTAGTCAAGACTGCAAAAATGTCGTTTTTCCAAAAGCAGTTTGTCACATTTTCCTAGTCAGAGCAGCGTGTAAATGATTAATGTGGTGTTGACTTGTCTTTCTCATTTTGAATCATAACAACAAAATTGATGTGGTGTTGATTTGTCTTTCACTTTGAACTATAAACAACTGCACTTGTTTTTCTGGAGTTATCTGGTAGATTGATCATTTTATAGCTTCTTCTACTAACTTTTAATTGTCTCCTAGAGGAAATAGTGATTCTCAGATCACATCAGGATGGAAACCCTATGGAACACCTCTTGTCTTGCCAATCTCATGTGATGATGAAATTATTGGAGGCAACATACTGATGATGGTTCATAAAATGCTCTCTCCAATGCTTAGAAACTAAAAGTTTGGAGCATACTAAGATATCTGGTGTAATGTCTGCAACAGAAGGATCAGACCCCTCTCTTGACTTGTGTTCCGGCGAAGCATGTACTGATTCTGTTGTATCAAATTCAGCAAATAAGGATATCACTAGTTCTAAACCGGTGTCTTCTCTAGAATTGCCTCTTCAGTTGGTCGGAGAAAATAATACATGTACTGATCTATGGGTGGGGGTAGAGAAAGCCATCAGACTGGCCTCATCATCAACATCAATACTAATATATGTTGATTGGTCACAGAAGTTTTTAGAAAAGTATGACACCCATATCTGGAAAACTTGCCAGAAGTTTTTAAGTATGGACCTGTAACAAAGAAAGCCCGCACTGAACCTCTCTCGTTGTACACCTGCCTTGAAGCTTTTCTACGGGAAGAACCACTAGTACCTGAAGATATGTGGTTAGTCTCTCTCTCTCTCTCTCTCTCTCTCTCTCTCTCTCTCTGTGTGTTCAAAGTCACCCAAATTATAATATAGAATTATAGGTAACTACACAAGGCTTCAGGCGTGTGCGGGATCCAATGCCCTTTTTATATTAATTAGGGTGTAGAATCGTTTAGGGCTTAGCTCTCCCCTAGAGGGTTTATTATTTTTCGGTGTTGAATTGCCATTTAGGGCTTAGCTCCTGGGTTTTGTGCAACCAAAACCCTAGAGCTAAGACCTAAACGGACGCATTTTATTCACATTTAATGTGCCCTTTGAACATCAAGACGTGCTATTTGGATGGAGCAGTATCCTGCTTAACAAGCAGATTAATGATAACTATATATCCATGTATCAATGATGGATTAGAAGGAAATTTATGGTTTTCTGCATTGTGGGATGAACCGAATAGTTTTATTTTTCAAATTGTTTGGCAGTGTCATTTTCATCTGAACTTTGAAGACGTGTCTCACACACACATTCTCCTGTACTAAGAGGTGAGAGAGATGAAAGTTAGAAAAAGGAAAGAGAAATAATCAAAAGAAAACAAATAGGAAAGTAACCAAAAGTAAAGAATGATTGAATGGCATTGAGAGTGTATACCACATATAGATTGACTCAATGATAAATTTTATAAGGCGCATCACTTAGCCATTTGGTACATTTGGTTGTGTTTGGAGATCAGGAGTTTTGTATTAAAGATCTGGGTGTTTGGACAGGAGAATGTGTGCATAAGTATAAATTATATGTCTGATGAATGCGAAATTGATGGTGATCAAGGGGCCTAGATTTGCTAGAACTTTTTGTGAGAATACCACCTTTGGTGCTACAGAAGATGGTGCGAGTATTTTCTTTCAGAATTTGAGTGCAATTGTTACATGATTGCAAATGTCTTACAATTGCTACTTTACAGATGAATGAGTTGTTAAAAACTTGTAATTAGGGAGCCAGATTTTTGAGCTTTATGAAGCAACTTTAGAATGAAGCATTTTTAAATTTCTAGTATAAAATAGTTCTGTGGTTTTAGTCTTGCAAAGTATCTAAACTGTCAAAATATTATGCTGGTATCTGATAAAGAGTCATCTGTCTAGTTAGTTCCTTGTGTTAAAAGAGGAAACATTGCCATTCATCTACGAAATATGACCTATTAATAAAATATACGGTGAAGGTACTGTCCCCAGTGCAAGGAGCGAAGGCAAGCAAGTAAAAAGCTTGATCTATGGAGGCTTCCAGAAGTGTTAGTCATCCATCTAAAGAGGTTCTCATACAGTAGGTCGATGAAGCATAAACTGGAAACCTTTGTCGACTTTCCGATTCATGACTTTGATCTAACAAATTACGTAGCTAGCAAGAAAAACGCTCGACGTCAACTTTATGAACTCTATGCCTTGACCAACCACATCGGCGGAATGGGTAGCGGGCACTACACTGCGCATATCAAGGTGAGTATCTGAAAGGATTTCTTTGTTTGAAATATCAGCTGCATTTGGTATAAATCTTCTTATCGACTGTTATTGTTGTACAGCTTCTAGATGAGAACAGGTGGTATAGTTTTGATGACAGTTGTGTATCGCCCATAAATGAAGAAGAGGTGAAGTCAGGAGCTGCGTATGTACTCTTTTATCGGCGTGTTGCGACTGAAGATGCTGATGCTAGCTGCTAAAAATGTGGTCCAATCCTGTGTAGGTGAGGTGACGACTATGTTTAATCACAAAACTAGCCTCTCTAGGGCATGTATATTTCTTGCAAACCCTTGTTTTGTAATCGAAACAAGCGAAAGCCAAGCTCGGTTTGTTTAAGAGACAAGTCAAGCTGGGGCTTAGGCGTGTTCGTCTCGTAAAGCTAGTGACAACTCGATTAGAACTGTAGTGTTCTTAGAAGTGTCATGTCTGTAATTTTTTTAAATTTTATGTTGAAAATGTGTTTGTTTACTATAAAATATCCATGTCCTTGTTGCTATTTGTTAATTACTATCACAGTAAAATATCCATGTCCTTGTTGCTATTCGATGAAAATATCATTTTTTTGAGCTGGCAATATTTTGGCGAAATACTATCTAGTTATTGTGATAATTTCGATATTGTAGTTTTTTATTCTGACCTTGATATTTCCTTCATTATGTTGATTTATTTATTAAATACATCGCAATAATTTCGATAATATCGTGAAATAAATACGAACATGTCAAAAATTATTTAAGAAAATCCATCGCGTGCTTGCAAGGCATGGGATTTGAACCCTTGTCAACATGGTAAAAATTAGGAGTGACATTTTAAACCGAAAAATCGCAAAAATCAACTGATAATTTACCGTAATGAAACCGCAATCGCGGTAAACCGAACCGCATTTGCGGTATTAAGAACCGAACGGCATTTGCGGTATTTGATTTTCAAAACTTGCGGTTATCGCAAACCGCAAAGTATAGCTGCACGGATGATGAGGTTGAATTCTACAAGGAAATGGAACATATGACAACTTGTAAGTAATTAGTTTATTTATGCTTCTTCTTATAATAAATGTACTAAACTATATTGTTTTATTTGTAGATAACATTGGTGCTCAAACAACACAACGGGGTTCTTCAAATCCACTCACCACCAACACTTGAGTTTGTAACATTAGTGTATTGCATTTTCCTTTTAGTTTGTAACTTTAATTAACTTTGAATTGGATTTTTCTTTTTTGTTGTAATTTTAATTCATTTTGCTTTGCATTTTCCTTTTGGTTTGTAACTTTAAAGGATTTGGAATTGGAATGCTTGAGAAGTTTAACTTTAATTGGAATACTTGGAATTGTAACTTTAATTTTCTTAGGTTGTGAATGCTTGAGAAGTTGAGGAGATTGTGAATTTATATATGCTTGAGAAATTGAGGTTGTGTATTTATTTATTTAGGTTGTGAATTTATATTTTTGTGAATGCTTGAGAACTTGCGGTTTTAAACCGCTAATTCGCGGTAACCGACCGCATTTTGCGGTTTCAAAAATCACCAAACCGCAAAAGTCGGTCGGTTTGCGGTTTGAGTAAAAATTCGCGGTTACCGAACCGCAACCACCCCTAGTAAAAATTATCTTTTAAATATTTTCAAGTTCTTGAGTTAAAAACATATGCTTCTTTTTAACTTTATAAATTTTTTTTGGGTCCTTTATTCATTCTGAAGACTAGGAAAGATGGACTGTAAGGTTTTTGGGACAAGAAAGGTATTCATGATCTATTTTCGACAATTTTAAATAAAAATTAATATATGGAAGTGTGATATCATTGAAAAAAGGAAAAATTCAACTTGGACCCCTCAAGTTGTCATAATTACAGTAAGAAGTACAGGTTTCATTAACCAGCAATTTTTTGACGTACAATTTTTTCAATGACATACTCACTTGGCAGACATCAACAATTATAGAATCATTACGAGCAATGTGGTTTGCCCAATACTCATCAGCTACGTCTTCATCAGGCCGGCCATCAGCATCTCTAGACTTATATATGGTTTGTGTTTCACACGATTCAGATCTTCATGAAGACCATCTGGCAAAAATGCCAAAAGCTCCTGAAAAGTTCATCCAAATTGCATGTGGGCACGCTGCTGAAAACATAGTGTCGAGTACCAAACCTGAGAATCGTGCTGATTGTAACCACTAAACTGAGGTGCAAAACGAGCAAGTTTTGTTTTAAAAGGTCGAGGAGCAACCGGTGTTCGTCCAGGCGCCCATAGCTTCCGAAGTAACTCACCGAATGCTAGAGCTATGTCACCCTACATTTTGACCAGTTAATCAACAAGCTAATTTTAAAAGCAACTTAATTTTTATTTTTTTATTTTTAATGTGTAATGTTTTGAAATCTTATGAGGGTGTTTGTGTAATTTTAAAAACCTGGGAGGTTTTAGGGGGTGTTAATTCGAAAACAACTTCGTTCTTTGTCGAAAATGTCTTCTTCCTTCTCGACTCGACGCTCAGCTCTCTCAGCCAGCTAGCCACGTCAGGTCAGCCTCTAACTCTCTCTTTCTCTCTCTCATTTCGATGATCTCAGCCTCCTCTAACTCTCTCTCTCTCTCTCTCTCTCTCATTTCGATACCCTCAGTCTTAGCCTGTCAATCTCCAATCTTGGCGTCAACCACTTCGAATCTTGAAGCGGGTGTTCGCTGTCATTTCAGTCTCAGATAAACCTCCTCTTCCTCAACCGACCCGGTATGTGCTTTCCAATTTAGTGAAATTTATATCAGGGTTTATGTAGAAATTAGTTTGGGGCTTTGGTTTTAATTAAGCTGTTGGAGTTTTCGGATTAAATATAACCTTGATGCCTAAAGGTTTACCTGTTGATTAAACATCATATCTGCCTTATTCTTTCCTTGCTTTTATTTCTTTCTTTTTTTTTTTTTTTTTTTTTTTTTTTTTGCTATGCATACCTGTTGAGTTTTGGATTTGATGATTGTTGTGCGGTATCCGTGGTTTACTGCTGACTGTAATTGTGGTTCAAGATATACTGGATTAGATGTTATTTGTCTGAATGAGGAATTGGGTTATGTTCTGGTCTATGGTAAAGGAGATTTCATCATGGGAATTCCGAGTCTCCGCATTTACAGAGTGCATTTACACGCATTTTGCAAAATCTGGGACATTCAAATAATCTTATGACTCTGGGTAGGCGCTGTTCAAGAATGGTTTTGTATTTTTGTGATCATAACCAGATTAAATGAGTAAAGTGTTACTAAGTTATGTTTTTAGGATATTGTGAATTGGCCTGAAATTGGTTACGTTCTCAGTCAGTGTATTTGGAAATCTTAATAGCAACTTTGATTGGACCTGTATCTTTTGGGAAATTAGTGTTACAAACATGGTTGTTCATACTTAAATTGTTGTTTAATTGGCATTTGGTCATGCATTAATTGGACAGTCTGCTCCAATAATGATTACAGACAACTGAAAAGAGACACTTACCATAGCAATGGGGATTAAATATGTGAAAACCATGTGGTTTAATTTTGTATGTAATGCTCTTTTCCTCTATCAATGTAGATGGAATATTAATTTTGAATAATAACTTTCGTTTTGGTATTATTTTCATGCAGTGCTGTCCCTGCAGCTCCCTCTACTACTCCTGAGAAAGAGAAGGGGAAGGAAGAATACAAGGATGTAAGTTTTAATCAATTGGTTCGACCTCTGTCAATGTTGGCATTTTTAATCACCCAACTATGCTTCTGGCTATTGGCTACAGAAGTCACTACTAGAAGAAAATGAACAAAATATGCGTTGTCACTCATATGCAATTGTGCTCTCGTCACTCATCCTCAACCGGGTGCTGGGCCTGATTATCAACTAGCTGGTCATCGACCACTTGCAAATCCATGGGGTCCTCAAACACTGGTAGATTCATGGGGTCCTCATCTTCAATTGCTTGCGGATCCACTGGGTCCTCGTCTTGTGGAAGATTCTCAACTGGAATTGGATGGGCCTCTACTGGCAGATCATCAATCAAGTGCAAGTAAAAATACGTGGCATCTATGCTTTCAATCATCATATTCATGACCTCCTACCAAGGCCTCTGATTGAGACCATGGGTATTCTCATATAAAACAATATTATGAAATTCATACTAGTAGTCGTAGTCGTCTAGAACATCATACTCTAGTAATGGATTACCCTCCAGCAACAGTAATAGCATCCTCCAACTCTTAGACACTTTCATGGTTTGCAATATTAATCTGTCCTATGTAATGATCCATTCCATCAGGAGTCTGTCGACTTACTCTAGCCAGCCCTTGATCCCTAGCCCCATCTCCTCCCCCGCTGCCCCTATTTTCCTCCTCATCATGTTGGCCCCTGTCATGATCCTATTGAAACAAGACAGCCACATTAAATAGCACGCGTAATAATATCCTTTTGAAATTTTATAAAATAAAAAAGACAAGCCCATTAACTGGCAAGCAAATCCTACTAAAACTTTATAAAATAAAAGAAGACGAGCCTATTAACCAACATACATGTGCATTAGTGAAATTTCCAAATTATGAAACTTCATAAAATGAAGAAGACGCCCTATTAACCAGCATACATATGCACAAACAAGATTATTGAAAGTATGCAAATCATGAAACTTTATAAAGTGAAGAAGACAAACCTATGAGACCTAGGGCATATGTTTGTCTTCTTAGGTTTGTCTTATTCATTTTATAAAGTTTCATGATTTGCATACTTTCAATAATTTTGTTTGTGCATATGTATGCTGGTTAATAAGGTTTGTGTTCTTCATTTTAGGTTAATAGGGTTTGTCTTCTTCATTTTCTGATGTTTCATGATTTGGAAATTTCATTGATGCACATGGATGCTAGTTAATGGCTCGTCTTCTTTTATTTTATATAATTTCAGCAAGATCTGCTTGCCAGTTAATGGGCTTGTCTTTTTATTTTATAAAGTTTCAATAGGATATTATTACGCATGCTATTTAATGCGGCTGTCACGTTTCAACAGGATCATGACAGGGGCCAACATGATGAGGAGGAAAATAGGGGCAGTCGGGGAGGAGATGGGGCTGGGGATAAGGGTTGGCTAGAGTAAATCGACAAACTTTTGATGGAATGGATCATTACATAGGACAGATTAATGTTGCAAACCATCAAAGTGCCCAGGAGCTGGAGGATGCTATATTACTGTTGCTGGAGGGTAATCCATTACTAGAATATGATGTTCCATACGAGTACGACTACTGGTATGAATTTCACGATGTTGTTTTATACGAGAATACCCATGGTCTCAGTCAGAGGCATTGGGAGGAGGTCATGAATATGATGATTGAAAGGATAAATGCCACAAATTTTTTCTTGCACCCGATTGATGATATGCCAGCAGAGGCCCATCTAGTTCCAATTGAGAATCTTCTAGAGGATGAGGACCCCATGGATTTGCCAGTGGTTGAGGACCCCCATGGATCTACAAGTGGTCGAGGACCAGCTACTTGATAATCAGGCCTAGCACCCGGTTGAGGATGAGAGTGACGAGAGCACAATTACATATGAGTGACAACGCATATTTTGTTCATTTTCTTTTAGTAGTGACTTTTGTAGCTAGAAGCATAGTTAGGTGATTAAAAACATAACTGACTTGTTGAAATTCTTACCACCCTTCTAGATCTTATATTCCAAATGTGCAACCAACTAATGGGTCTTGTGCCCGCCTTTAATTCCCTTTTCTTTTTGACGAATTTCTAAGCAAAAATGAAATACAAATCAAGAAGACTAAGCACAGAGTGAACAGGTAACTACTTGTCAATGTCAGGATTGTCATTTCTTGCAGCCTTCTCCAAAATCACCTGCACAGGCTTGTGGGAACCGAATTAAATCAGACCCTCGGTCAAACAATTCCTTCCATTTGGGGATTATTTGACCTAATTGGGAATTAATCAATACAAATTTATAAATAAACCCAATCCTAGAGATGTATTTAAAGCACTATTTAAACATAGAAACACACCCAAAATTAACCTCAAAGTCAACTTTTTGGGTGTGTTTATAAATGGGTTTTGAGTGTGTGTAATGATGGGTTTTGGGTGTGTTTATATGTTTAAATAGTGCTTGGGTTTTTTTATAATTTCAACCCCCATTTTGGGTGTTTTAGTAAAACTCCCATTAATCAACCTAATTGGGAGTTACTCAATTTAATTGGGGATTACCCAATTAAATGGAACATTACCTAATTAGGTTGGAATTGATTTGATTCCTACCACAATTTCCAATTAAATGAAGAGTTACCTAGTTAAATTAGGATTTGATTTGATACCTACCACAATTAGGGATTTGATTTACCTCAAATCCCTAATTAATCAAATCAATTCCAAATAGGGGAGGAATAATTCCCTTCCATCTATGGAATTATTCCTTTGAAACCCTAGCCTCGAAGACCACTATAAAAGCATAGCCACACACAAGGGTTGAGGTACGTCTGAAATCTCTATTGAAACTCTGCAGAAAATTCCTCTCTTAAACCCTAGCCACCATATATATATATATATATATATATATATATATATATCTCTCTCTCTCTCTCTCTCTCTCTCTCTCTCTATACATAAGGCTCTGGCCACCCGGTTTACACCTTAAACACATCTCTGTACCCTAGTTAGCTAGTGTTTTTCTTATAAACTCTTGAACTAATTTAGGCATCGGAGGGCCTTTGGCCAACACCCCTCAGGTGTGGCCCTCTCATTTGTTCTATTTTGCAGGGAGAAAGAGGAGGCGAAGAAGGAAGAGGAATCTTTGCAACCGAATATTCTCATGAGGAAATTTGCTCACACAAATTGGTGCTTTCATTGAGAGCACGAGTTATACTCAACGCATGCTCAAGGAATCCGTTCCTCCTATTTTCCAATCCACTGAAGCCTTCCAAACAACCAGGGTTGGAAACAAGAAGGCGAGAGGCAAAACCGCTGCGATGGCTAAATCCGCGACAGCCCAAAGCCACTCCACCCACGGTCCCGCGATCGACATGGTGGCACCACCACCTCTCACCACCGCACTGGCCACCGTCGCCGAACATGATGAAACCTCCCACCAAGGTGGGCTTGTTACCACTACTGACTTAGGCCCGATATTGGAGTAACTTCAAGCATTCCCTCCATTACCTCCATGCTTGACGCACGCTCATGCATACACCTCCAATGAAACCCTAGCCCATGTGCAATTGGGCTCCACACACTTCTCTCCTCCCGATCCACAAAGTCAAGCAGATCTTAATCTGAGAGTTGACCAGCTAGCTCAGAGGATGGACGACCAAACCAATCTGATGAGGCAGCTCCTCAACCAAATAAACTTGGTTCAAAACCTTGGCCTTGGACAACCAGGCAAAGAGAGAAGGATGGATGAACGCGCCGTTCGGCAGCTCGATGGGTACCAATCAGGTCGAGCAGGAATGGGCAGATAAGGAGAGGGACAACAACGTGATCAGCTTGCCAACATGTCACAAGCATCCGTAAGCCACACTTAGAGCAACGTACGCGAAAGGTTGGGCCCACGACTTGACATCCGCGCCTGCTTGGACACGCAGGGAAATGTACATCAAATGCTAGGCCCCCAGGGAGGTCAGCCAGACAACCATCGCAACGAGGATCGTGAAGAAAGGCACTCAGTTGTCCACTCGCAGAGGAGTATTCACAAAAGGCTAGGCCCCCAGGGTGGTTAGCTAGATAACCCTCACAATGAAGACCATGAGGACAGGCGCTCCGCTGCTCACTCTCGGAGAGTCGATTCTCGTCGACAAGCTACAAAGAATCTTTCGCAGGCACAGTCCACCAACACGCCTCATAGGCAGTGCGGACGAGAGGGTTAACCCTCGCAGACCAACCAGGAGGTCAATCAGCGTTGCTCGAATCGCGAAGGTCACCAACATGATTGACCAGCAATGTGTGCGGAAGACGTTGAGAAGCTTGTGAATGACCGATTTCGAGACTTGAAGACTGGCGGGAACCTCGAGGATGCACTACGTAAGGAGATGGACCAGGCGATCTTTACTCCTTTCACCCCTGAAATCAAGCAGGCTGCTCCCTCGAAGCGATTCTCAACACCTTCGTTTACATATTTCAAAGGGGATTCCGATCTCGAGAGCCACCTAAAACACTTCAAAAGTGTCATGATCCTCCACAAGGCCGACAACGCACTGATGTGCAAGGTGTTTGCAATGACCTTGCGAGGAGCAGCTTAAGACTGGTTCCACACCCTACCATCCGGGTCAATCAGCAGCTTCAAGGAGTTGGCTTATGTCTTTACCAAAGAGTACACCTCTTACCGGATGATCAAGAAGAACCCTGACCACTTGTACAACCTACGCAAGAAGTCTGACGAATCCCTTTGAGATTATATCAAGAGATTCGAAGTAGAAAAGGCCAACATTGTAGGATGTGACGACCGAATCGCGTCCTCCGCTTTCAAGAAAGGTCTTCCAGCTGAACACGACTTGTACCACGAGCTGATTATCACTCCCAGCTAGACTCTGGTAGAGGTCTACGCGACTGCAAAATGCTACGCGCTCTGGGATAACGATCGAATCGTCGCAAAGAAGTCTACTAAGCAAGAGGGTCAGCCGATTAAGCGGGCAGGCCAAAGAAGCGATGTATTTACTAACCAGAACAAGGACAAGCGCAGGTCACGCCCACAAGGGGACGCAATGGCAGGAGAAAACTACACCAAGTTCACCATCCCTATACATCAAATCCTAGCCCAAGTGAAAAACAAACCTTGAGTAAGAAGATCGCCACCTTTGAAAGGAGATCCGAACAAGAGGGATACTAGCAAATATTGTGCCTTTCATGGGACGCATGGACACACTATGAACAAATGCTTCGCTTGGAAAGTACACCTTGAAGAACTTGTGAGAGAAGGTCACTGCACGAAATTCATTTCGAAGCAGGCCATTCAGTGAATTGAAGATCGTGACACCGCCAAGGAGCCGCCCCAAAAGGTCATAATGATTAACATAATCCTAGCCGACTATGAGGAAACTGGGCTGACCAGCAAGGAAAAGAAGAGGAAGATCAAACAGGCCACTATGATTTCCCAAGTCTCGGCTGACCTTCCGCTAGCAGAAGATGATCCTGTAATCGGCTTCCAAAAGAAAGATCTGATCAGTCTCGACATGCCACATAACGATGCCCTTGTTATCAGCATTCAAATCGCCCAGGCCATGGTCGATTGAATCCATGCAAACGAGGGCAGCACAACCAATATCCTGCAGCTGGCTGTCATCCAGCAGATGGACTTGGAGACAAAGATCAACAAATCAACCAATATCCTGCAGCTGACTGGCTTTAATGGTGCAACAACGGTTACCGTGGGCACGATAGACCTCGACGTCTACTCCCCACCTGTAGTCAGCTTGCAAACATTCATGGTCTCTAGGGGCGGTGTTGGCCATAGATAGGCAAGATCAACGCCATCACCTCTGCCACACATTAGAAAATTCCGTACCAAATCTTTGGGGGCGGTGTCGGCCAAATCAATAGCGATTAGGCAATGACGAGGAAATGCTCCGCTCAAAGGCTGAAGAAAAGCAAACAAGCGCAGTTCCTCCCTGTCAGCTAGGCAGACCTGAAGGAGGTTGAACAACCGGATCTTGCTCTCTTATAGCAATCAAAGCGTCGGGACCAAGCCGAGGAAATCTGTCTAGAGGTCTTTCCTGAAGAAGAATGGAAACCCGAGGAGGACGTCGAGTTAATACTCTTGGATCCTGACCAGCCAGATAAAAAAGCACAGATTGGCTCGCGCCTAAACCTAGACGAGAGGGCGGAGCTTACCATCTTCCTCTAGAAAAACAAAGACATGGTCGCATGGTTGCCGTCAGACATGCCTGGCATCGACCCGAACATCATCTGTCACCGACTCCACGTCAACCCTGCCTGCAAGCCAGTGGCGCAGAAGAGACGCAACTTCGCACCCGAGCGAGTCGCTATCATCAAAGCCGAGATTGACAAACTCCTAGCTGCTGGCTTCATCGAAGAGGTCTTCTACTTAGAGTGGCTCGCCAACGTTGTTTTGGTGGCAAAACAAGATAAGGGAAAGTGGAGAGTCTGCATCGATTACACGAACCTCAACAAAGCGTGCCCAAAAGACAACTTCCCATTACTGAGAATCGACCAATTAGTGGATTCCACTTTTGGAAATTAGCTGCTCAGCTTCATGGACGCCTACTCCGGCTATAACCAAATCTTGATGCACGAGGATGAGAAGGCGAAAACTTCTTCCATCATCGAGTGAGGAACTTACTGTTACAAGGTCATGCCTTTTGGGTTGAAGAATGCCGGAGCAACCTACCAAAGGAGCAGATCGGCAAAACTATGGAGGTATACGTGGACGGAATACTAGTCTAGGCCCTAAAACGTGCGGATCACCTCAAAAACCTCGCCGAGGCATTTAGCCTGCTCCTCCAGTATCGCATGAAGTTGAATCCAGATAAATGCACGTTTGGTGTATCCTCCGACCGATTCTTGGGATATCTAGTTACGCAACGAGGTATCGAGGCACACCCAAGTCAAATCAAATCCATTCTCGAGATAAAGTCGCCCTCCACAGTGAAGGAGAATTGGACAATTCAGGTTCGTACGAAGTTCGTTCTAAAATGGAGTGGTTGGTGTATTGCATAGTTTTAGCCATTGGATTTCACTCAAAACACCAAATGACTCCTCCCACAACATTATGATGTTCCCCAAGTTTTGGACTCAATCCGATTTCGATTGGTCCATGAAATCGGACAATTTAGGTTCGTACGAAGTTCGTTTTAAAATGAAGTGGTTGGTGTATTGCAAAGTTTTAGCCATTGGATTTCACTCAAAACCCACCAAATAACTCCTTCCACCATATTATGATGTTCCCCAAGTTTTGGACTCAATCCGATATCGATTGGTCCATGAAATCGGACTAATTCAAGTTCGTACGAAGTTCGTTCTGAAATGGAGTGGTTGGTGTATTGCATAGTTTTAGCCATTGGATTTCACTCAAAACCACCAAATGACTCCTCCCACCATTATGGTGTTCCCCAAGTTTTGGACTCAATCCGATATCGATTGGTCCATGAAATCGGATAATTTAGGTTCGTACGAAGTTCGTTCTAAAATGGAGTGGTTGTGTATTGCAAAGTTTTAGCCATTGGATTTCACTCAAAACCCACCAAATGACTCCTTCCACCATATTATGTTGTTCCCCAAGTTTTGGACTCAATCCGATATCGATTGGTCCATGAAATCGGACAATTCAGGTTCGTACGAAGTTCGTTCTGAAATGGAGTGGTTGGTGTATTGCATAGTTTTAGCCATTGGATTTCACTCAAAACCACCAAATGACTCCTCCCACAACATTATGGTGTTCCCCAAGTTTTGGACTCAATCCGATTTCGATTGGTCCATGAAATTGGACAATTTAGGTTCGTACGAAGTTCGTTCTGAAATGGAGTGGTTGGTGTATTGCATAGTTTTAGCCATTGGATTTCACTCAAAACCCACCAAATGACTTCTCCCACCATATTATGATGTTCCCCAAGTTTTGGACTCAATCCGATATCGATTGGTCCATGAAATTGGACAATTCAGGTTCGTACAAATTTCGTTCGGAAATGCAGTGGTTGGTGTATTGCATAGTTTTAGATTGGATTTCACTCAAAACCCACCAAATGACTCCACCCACCATATTATGATTCCCCAAGTTTTGGAATCAATCCGATATCAAATGGTCCACTAAATCGGACAATTCAGGTTCGTACGAGGTTTCTCCTGAAATGGAGTGGTTGGTGTATTGCATAGTTTTAGAGATTGGATTTTACTCAAAAACACCAAATAACTCCTCCCACCATATTATGATGTTCCCCAAGTTTTGGACCCAATCCGATATCGATTGGTCCATAAAATCGGACAATTGGGGTTCGTACGAAGTTCGTTTGGAAATGGAGTGGTTGGTGTATTGCATAGTTTTAGCCATTGGTTTTCACTCAAAAACACCAAATGATTCCTCCCACAACATTATGATGTTCCCCAAGTTTTGGACTCAATCCGATTTCGATTGGTCCATGAAATCGGACAATTCAGGTTCGTACGAAGTTCGTTCTGAAATGAAGTGGTCGGTGTATTGCATAGTTTTAGCCAATGGATTTCACTCAAAACTCACCAAATGACTCCTGCCACAACATTTTGATGTTCCCCAAGTTTTGGACTTAATCCAATTTCAATTGATCCATGAAATCGGACAATTCAGGCTCGTACGAAGTTCGTTCTAAAATGGAGTGGTTGGTGTATTGCATAGTTTTAGCCATTGGATTTCACTTAAAACCCACCAAAAGTCTGCTTCCACCATATTATGATGTTCCTCAAGGTTTGGAGTCAATCCGATATCGATTGGTCAACGAAATCGGACAATTCATGTTCATACGCAGTTTGTTTTAAAATGGAGTGGTTGGTGTATTGCATAGTTTTAGCCATTGGATTTCACTCAAAACTCACCAAATGACTTCTCCCACAACATTATGATGTTCCCCAAGTTTTGAACTCAATCTGATTTCAATTGGTCCATGAAATCGGACAATTCAGGTTCGTCCGAAGTTCGTTATGAAATGGAGTGGTTGGTGTATTGCATAGTTTTAGCCATTGGTTTTCACTCAAAAATCACCAAATGATTCCTCCCACCATATTACGGAGTTCCAGAAGTTATGTACTCAATTCGATATGGATTGGTCCATGAAATCGGACAATTTAGGTTCGTGCAAAGTTCGTTCTGAAATGGAGTGGTCGCTGTATTGCACAGTTTTAGCCATTGGATTTCACTCAAAACTCACCGAATGACTCTCGCCACAACATTATGATGTTCCCCAAGTTTCGGACTCAATCCAATTTCAATTGATCCATGAAATCGGACAATTCAGGCTCGTACGAAGTTCTAAAATGGAGTGGTTGGTGTATTGCATAGTTTTAGCCATTGGATTTCACTCAAAACCCACCAAAAGTCTGCTTCCACCATATTATGATGTTCCTCAAGTTTTGGAGTCAATCCGATATCGATTGGTCCATGAAATCAGACAATTCATGTTCATACGCAGTTTGTTCTAAAATGGAGTGGTTGGTGTATTGCATAGTTTTAGTCATTTGATTTCCTCGAAACTCACCAAATGACTCCTCCCACAACATTATGATGTTCCCCAAGTTTTGGACTCAATCCAGTTTCCATTGATCCATGAAATCGGACAATTAAAGTTCGTACGAAGTTCGTTATGAAATGGAGTGGTTGGTGTATTGCATAGTTTTAGCCATTGGATTTCACTCAAAACTCACCAAATGACTTCTCCCATCATATTATGATGTTCCCCAAGTTTGGGAGTCAATTCGACATCGATTGGTCCATGAAATCGGACAATTCATATTCGTACGCAGTTCGTTCTGAAATGGACTGGCAGGTATATTGCATAGTGTCAGCCATTGGATTTCACTTAAAACCCACCAAATGATTCCTCCCATCATATAGCGGTGTTCCTCAAGTTTTGTACTCAATTCGAAATGGATTGGTCCATGAAATCGGACAATACAGGTTCGTACGAAGTTCGTTTTGAAATGGAGTGGTCGGTGTATTGCATAGTTTTAGCCATTAGATTTCACACAAAACTCACCAAATGACTCCTCCCACAACATTATGATGTTCCTCAAGTTTTGGGACTTAATCCAATTTCAATTGATCCATGAAATCGGACAATTCAGGTTCGTACGAAGTTCGTCTAAAATGGAGTGGTTGGTGTATTGCATTGTTTTAGCCCTTGGATTTCACTTCAAACCCACAAAAAGTTTGCTTCCACCATATTATGATGTTCCCCAAGTTTTGGACTCAATCCGATATCGATTGGTCCATGAAATCGGACAATTCAGGTTCGTACGCAGTTTGTTCTAAAATGGAGTGGTTGGTGTATTGCATAGTTTTAGCCATTGGATTTCACTCAAAACTCACCAAATGACTCCTCCCACAACATTATGATGTTCCCCAGGTTTTGGACTCAATCCGATTTCGATTGGTCCATGAAATTGGACAATTCAGGTTCATCCGAAGTTCGTTATGAAATGGAGTGGTTGGTGTATTGCATAATTTTAGCCATTGGATTTCACTCAAAACACACCAAATGACTCCTCCCACAACATTATGATGATCCCCAAGTTTTGGACTCAATCCGATTTTGATTGGTCCATGAAATCGGACAATTCAGGTTCGTACGAATTTCGTTATGAAATGGAGTGGTTGGTGTATTGCATAGTTTTAGGCATTGGATTTCACTCTAAACCCACCAAATGACTCCTCCCACCATGTCCCATGTTTTGAACCCAATCCGATATCGATTGGTCCATGAAATCGGACAATTCAGGTTCGTACGAAGTTCGTTATGAAATGGAGTGGTTGGACAATTCAGGTTGAAGTTCGTTATGAAACGGAGTGGTTGGTGTATGGCATGGTTCTAGCAATTGGATTTTACTCAAAACCAACCAAATGACCTCCTCCCACCATATTATGATGTTCCCCATTCGATTCAGGTTCGTCCAAGAAATGGAGCAATTCAGAAGTTCGTTATGAAATGGAGTGGTTGGTGTATTGCACAGTTTTAGCAATTGGATTTCACTCAAAACCACCAAATGACTCCTCCCACAACATTATGTTGTTCCCCAAGTTTTGGACTCAATCCAATTTCGATTGGTCCATGAAATCGGACTATTCAGGTTCGTAGAAGTTTGTTCTGAAATGGAGTGGTTGGTGTATTGCATAGTTTTAGCCATTGGATTTCACTCAAAACCCACCAAATGACTCCTCCCACCATATTATGTTGTTCCCCAAGTTTGGGACTCAATCCGATATCGATTGGTCCATGAAATCGGACTATTCAGGTTCGTAGAAGTTCGTTCTGAAATGGAGTGGTTGGTGTATTGCATAGTTTTAGCCATTGGAGTTTCACTCAAAACCCACCAAATGACTCCTCCCACCATATTATTGTTCCCCAAGTTTTGGACTCAATCCGATATCGATTGGTCCATGAAATCGGACTAATTCAGGTTCGTAGCAAAGTTCGTTCTTAAAAGGAGTGGTTGGTGTATTGCATAGTTTTAGCCATTGGTTTTCACTCAAAACAACCAAATGACTCCTCCCCCATCATATGATGTTCCCCAAGTTTTGGACTCAATCCAATTTCGATTGGTCCATGAAATCGAACAATTTAGGTTCGTAGCAAGTTCGTTCTGAAATGGGGTAGTTGGTGTATTGTGTAGTTTTAGCCATTGGATTTCACTCAAAACCCACCAAATGACTTCTCCCACCATATTATGTTGTTCCCCAAGTTTTGGGGTGGTTGGTGTATTGCATAGTTTTATGTAATAGTTTTAGGCATTGGATTTCACTCAAAACCCAACCAAATGACTCCTCCCACCATATTATGATGTTCCCCAAGTTTTGGACTCAATCCAATATCGATTGGTCCATGAAATCGGACAATTCAGGTTCGTAGGAAGTTCGTTCTGAAATGGAGTGGTTGGTGTATTGCATAGTTTTAGCCATTGGATTTCACTCAAAACCAACCAAATGACTCCTCCCACAACATTATGTTGTTCCCCAAGTTTTGGACTCAATCCGATATCGATTGGTCCATGAAATCGGACAATTTAGGTTCGTAGGAAGTTCGTTCTGAAATGGAGTGGTTGGTGTATTGCATAGTTTTAGCCATTGGATTTCACTCAAAACCAACCAAATGACTCCTCCCACAACATTATGATGTTCCCCAAGTTTTGGACTCAATCCGATATCGATTGGTCCATGAAATCGGACATTCATTCAGGTTCGTTTGAATGGAGTTGTTGGTGTATGTAATAGTTTTAGCCATTGGATTTCACTCAAACCACCAAATGACTCCTCCCACCATATTATGTTGTTCCCCAAGTTTTGGACTCAATCCGATATCGATTGGTCCATGAAATCGGACAATTCAGGTTCGTAGGAAGTTCGTTCTGAAATGGAGTGGTTGGTGTATTGCATAGTTTTAGCCATTGGATTTCACTCAAAACCAACCAAATGACTCCTCCCACCATATTATGTTGTTCCCCAAGTTTTGGACTCAATCTGATATCGATTGGTCCATGAAATCGGACAATTCAGGTTCGTAGGAAGTTCGTTCTGAAATGGAGTGGTTGGTGTATTGCATAGTTTTAGCCATTGGATTTCACTCAAAACCACCCAATGACTCCTCCCACAACATTATGATGTTCCCCAAGTTTTGGACTCATTGCATAGTTTTATGTAATAGTTTTAGGCATTGGATTTCACTCATAACCCACCAAATGACTCCTTCCATCATGTTATGATGTTCCCCAAGTTTTGGACTCAATCCGATATCGATTGGTCCATGAAATCGGACTATTCAGGTTCGTAGGAAGTTCGTTCTGAAATGGAGTGGTTGGTGTATTGCATAGTTTTAGCCATTGGATTTCACTCAAAACCAACCA